TGGACTGGTCGCTTTCTTTCACATGCAGGAAGGTTACAGCTCATTAGCTCTGTCATTACTAGTCTTGCTAACTTCTGGCTCTCTGCTTTTCGCCTCCCTAGTAGCTGTTTAAAGGAGATAGAAAGCCTTTGTTCAGCATTCTTATGGTCTGGTCCTGATTTGAAAACAAATAAGGCAAAAGTCAGCTGGAAAGATATTTGTCTACCTAAGAAGGAGGGTGGCTTGGGGTTAAGATCTCTCAAAGAAATTAACATGGTTCTTTGTTTAAAGCTGATTTGGAGATTGACTTCTAATAGATCGTCGCTCTGGGTTAATTGGATACATTGTTATCTAATTAGAAAAGGTTCTTTCTGGTCCATTAAAAGTAATACTGTCTCAGGCTCTTGGATGTGGAAGAAACTGCTTAAGTTGAGAGATTTGGCTATGTCTTTTCATAAAGTTGAGGTAAACAACGGTAAGCACACTTCTTTTTGGTATGACTCCTGGTCTTGTTTAGGCAATCTAAAGAATCATCTTGCTGGTGGTGGTAGTATTGATATGGGTATAATGGAGAATGATGTTATGTTTGATGTGTTTAATAGACATCGCAGAAGAAGGCATAGAATTCAATTCTTGAATGAAATAGAGGACGAAATCGAGGTTATCAAAATGAAAAGAAGTGAAGCTGATGATACTCCTCTCTGGAAACATGCTGAAGGAAAATACAAGAAGGATTTCTCCACAAAAGCAACATGGGAATGTATTCGTCAATCTCAGCCTGATTGCGACTGGAGCAAGGGTGTATGGTTCTCTCACTCTACACCGAAATTCTCTTTCCTTGTATGGGTTGCCATAAAAAATAGGCTCCAGACGTGCGATCGAATTCAACAATGGAATAATGCGGTGAATGGAGTTTGTGTTCTATGTAATGAGGAACAGGAAACTTGTCGCCATCTGTTCTTTGATTGTTGTTATACAAGAAAGATATGGTATGAGATGGTAGGTGGGATCATGAAGGAGAAGTTCACTACGGAATGGAGTGAGATAATCACGATTATTGCTAACCCTGGTTACAATTCTACTGTGAATTTCCTTCTTCGTTATGCTTTTCAAACGCTGGCTCATAGTGTCTGGAGAGAGCGCAATGCTCGAAGACATGGGGAACACCCGATGGATGAAGGAACTCNTGGTATGAGATGGTAGGTGGGATCATGAAGGAGAAGTTCACTACGGAATGGAGTGAGATAATCACGATTATTGCTAACCCTGGTTACAATTCTACTGTGAATTTCCTTCTTCGTTATGCTTTTCAAACGCTGGCTCATAGTGTCTGGAGAGAGCGCAATGCTCGAAGACATGGGGAACACCCGATGGATGAAGGAACTCTTTCCAAGCTTGTTGACAAATTAGTTCGACTTAAGCTTCTTCTGGTTAAAGGTCAAGGTAAGAAGTATCTTGATGGTAGTCTACTTACGTGGTTTGAAACAAGAGTCTGATTTGTTGTTGAGATTGTTTCATCTTTTGGAAATTGTTTGTGATTGGAATGGGTTTTCTTATCTGGATGATCTTTGGAGTGGAGAATGATGTTTGCTTATTGGACGATCTTTGGTAGTAGTCTATTCTGGATTTTCTTTGGTGTTGAGGAGGCTGCTTGTTTGTCTCTAGATCGATTTTGGTTGTGTTTTGTCGGCTCGGTCTTTCTTGGCAGAGGAGTTGGGCTTGAAAACAAGAACCTGCTGGGATTTTGTCCCTTTGTTTGGTGGTGGTTCTGTGGTTGGAGTAGGGAGTTTTTTTTCTCTGGATAATCTTTGTTGAAAGGGGGCTGTTAGCTTGCTTCTTGGATGATCTTTGGTGGTAGCTATTCTTGGATAATCTTTGTTGCTTAGGGGGATGTTGCTTACTTCTTGGAGTTTGTTGGTTTGTTCTCTTTGGCGCAGAGGTGTTAGCTTTTTTGTTTTTATCCCTTGATCATGGAATTCTTACTCTTTTTCCTTTTCAAAGGTTTGTCCCAATTGGGTTTACTTTGAAAAGGTTTTAATGAGGAGAATTCCATGATCCTTTCCAATGCTTGACTTGTTTCACATGGTCAAGGCTTGGAGGGGATTTTGGTTTTTATTCTTTGTTTTGGGTCAGTTTTGATTCCAGAGTTGTAGTTTTGATTTCAATTTGTTCTTACAACAGTGGCACTTGATGTAAAATCGTTTTGTTTGAATATAATTTTACATTCATTCAAAAAAAAAAAAAANATTCCATGATCCTTTCCAATGCTTGACTTGTTTCACATGGTCAAGGCTTGGAGGGGATTTTGGTTTTTATTCTTTGTTTTGGGTCAGTTTTGATTCCAGAGTTGTAGTTTTGATTTCAATTTGTTCTTACAACAGTGGCACTTGATGTAAAATCGTTTTGTTTGAATATAATTTTACATTCATTCAAAAAAAAAAAAAAGATCATAATAGTAACTCCTCAAAACAATTTCACCTTCTGATCCCACAAATATTTTGAGACTGGCATACGACGTAGACAGAACAAACCAGAGGCGTGACCACAAAGTTTCAGCGGAATGTCTTTAGATAACTTAAACTGAACAGAGGCGGGTAAGGACGAGGACTTGTTGTCATCAAGCTGAGGCGATGAAAAGAAGAGAAACTTATTGTTTGGACATGTTTCCATGGCGAAGAAGAGAGTAGGATGAGTGGAAGATTTGGTTGAGAACAGCTTGGTGAAATCTGAACTGCAGAGTATGGATCTCCATTGCTCAGACACGCAACGACACCTCCCTAATGACTTGACAGACAATCTAGAGAATATATCGTGGAAAAGTTCGAGAGGGATTGAATTCATGATGATCAGACTCTGACTCCGAGAGAGCTAGAGGTGAAATGGATTTTTTTTTGAGGATCTTCTTTGTTGTTTTAAACAGTTTTATGTGATTGGTTTGAAAATTAACCTATACATTATATACTTACGATTAATTATTTTTAAAATGTTGAAATGTTAGAAATAATATAATTTTGCATAGTCAAACTATCTTAAAATATAAAGTATAATAATGATCACAAACATTCTTGAAGAAACGCAACAATGCAGATGCTCTAATAAGAGCACAAAACTTGTTAATAATGCTTTCAAACCTAGGTGGAACATCTTGATGCAGCTGCCATGATTTCATATCAAACGTGAGATCATCTACATGGTCTACAAAGGCGTAATAAACGTTAGTGTATCCTCTACTACTACCTTGGATACCTTGGACTTCAAGGCGTTTGACAGTGTTCCTTCCGGGATGGAAGTAGAAAACAGAAAATGGCTCCGAGTGATAATAGTGGTGACTCGTCAAAACAATTTCAGTTTCACCTGTAACGGTCGACACTTTAACTACGAAAACGTCACAAAATTCAGGAAGAGTGAATGTAACCTCCGACCAATCATCATGTTTCTCGGCATCATCTAGAAACCACATAGTCATACTTTCAGGAGTGTTTTTCTGTCTAATCAGACCTAATTTACCATCATAGTTAATCAATCTTGTAGTTGCAGAATAATCGTCATTAATGAAGTTTGCATGCATAAAGTTGAATTCCTCAGACCGAACATCAAAGCAAACTAAAAATAAACTTCCATTGTGTCTTTGAGCCAAGTAATATAAAACGCCATTGATGCATATCCCTTGTTGGAACCAAGGGTAATGCGCTTCGGGAGATTTGATCTTCCTCCACTTAATTTCTCCACTTCCTAACGTAAGAATATTAACAACATTGGAAAATGATGAATAGGTAGCACTGGATGAAACTACCTTGAACACCTTGTCGATAGGATCAAACCCTAAAAAGCTCTTAGGGCCTGTTTTCACTGTAGGTAAGAACCCATACTGTCCTGTGCTAGGGTTACATATCACATGCTCCGTATACTCCTCCTTCTCATCCCTCCCCCATATTGACATACGACGCAAACAGAACAAACCAGAGGCGTGACCACATAGTTGGAGTGGAATGTCTTTAGATAACTTCATCAACTGAACAGAGGCGGGGAAGGACGAGGACGACGAGGAGGACTTGTCATCAAGCTGAGGCGACGAAAAGAAGAGAAACTCATTGTTTCGAGATGTTTCCTTGGCGAATAAGAGATTAGGACGAGTGGAAGACTTGGTTAAGAACAGCTTGGTAAAATCTGAACTGCAAAGTATGGATCTCCATTGCTCAGACACGCAGCGACACCTCCCTATTGACTTGACAGACAATCTAGATAATATCTCGTGAACAAGTTCAAGAGGTATTGAATTCATCGTAATCAGAGACTCTTATAAGAGGGAGGAGAGGTGAATGCAGATCACTGTAATATATTGTTCGAGACCTAGGGCTTTCATTAGCAACCTAACCAAATAGTGCATGGTTCGGTTTATTTAGTTTGGTTTCGGTTTAAAATAACTAACTGGTGTATCGGATCTGTGGTAGCATTCTGAGAGCATCCGCAATGACGGATCCTTGGGGGAATCCTTAGGAAAATATTAATTTTGTAATTAATGGGTCCCATGAACAGTATTCGCAGGCTCTACTGCCCACGTGACGGTCCGTGAGTGGTCAAATTTTTTTTTTTAAAGAAAAAATCTGAAATATCCTTATATAATCTGAAATATTCCTTTTTCTTTTTTCCTAAGGATTCCTCTAAGGATACACCATTGCAAATGCTCTGATATCTTGTCTATATGTTGTTTTCTTGAGGCTTCAAACTTACAAAGCAACATTGCGGGAAATGGAATTATTCAAACTATTAGAGTAGCTGCTAAGTGCATGAACATGTCTACCAAATCGCGCCCTTTTTTATGAAACGGCTAAAGACTTGTTTCAAGTTATTCTCACCTTGTATCCAACAAATAATCTAACTTCTTGTTGTGTCAAAGTCATGTCGAAATAGAACTAAGAACTCAAGAATCAAAAGTTTGTGGATTTTTTGGATTTTTTTTTATCAAATGCAGAGACTACTACAGCTTGAAAACAAAGAGATAATAATTTATCCATCCATCCTTGGAGATAAAAATAAATAAAACAAAAACTCACAAAAAATAAGTATCCCTGTAATCTATTAAACCATAAGTACATCATGGACCCTCTAATGTGTGATTATAACTTGCTCTTCAGACCATAAAAAGAGAACAACAGTCTTCAGAGAATATCTGAAACCTGACAAACTTTCTGAAATCTACAAAACATTCCCAAAAAAAAAAACGACAAAAAGAATCTTCAAAGTGTATAAGAATCAGTCTCAACTCTCTCAAAAGTCTTTTGCTTCTAAGCTGTGACACAATCTTGTAAATAACGATGGCTAGAGTTCAAAAACTTTAACCAAAAAGGTTTATACCTACCAATACCAATCTTCAGCCAAGGCTTCATGTTGCCATTATAATGAATCACAGCCGCGGTTTCTATCAAACGGTTATCAATGTTCACATCATAACCTAACCCTAAGACATGCCATCTCCTGTCTAGCGGCTCAGTGAGACCATAGAAAGCCAACAGACCTGGAGGGAGAGTCCCTAGCTTCCAAAGAGTTCTATCTCTGTTCTCCTCTTGCCAGTAATGATACCTACCAGTCACATTCGCTTTCCTCCACGCTATCAAATCGAAAACGTTCATACCAAAGGCCCAGCCACACGCTTGTGGATCAAACTTTGAGCTGATGAGTGGGTCTGAGAAGTTTAGATACTTGTAATAACGGTGAAAGGCTTCAAGACATGTCTCCACGGCGCCATTGACGTTTCCGTGAAGGTCTAAGGAGAAGAGTGGAGTCAAATCTTTCTGAACAACAACGTCATCGTCTAGGAAAACAATCTTTTCTAGCTGTGGATAGATCTCAGGAATGTAGAATCTGAGATGGTTTAATAATGATAAGTACTTAGGGTTCCTCACTTTTGGCGGCTCAGAGTTTGTTTCTTGGTCACCAAAATAGTAAGCTCCCGAATCTGTATCAAGCAGCTGCTTAACAACAGGAGAGTACGTAGCATTCAACCAAGAAAACTCTTCCACGCTTTGGATCTCTATCGCTGAGCCCTTGAAGTCATTACCTAGGAACCAAGCCTGCATAGCTTTGTAACTCACTTGATTCGTCACTATGTGGAAAACAAGCTGTTTCGGGTGATCAGCGTTGGAGACAGTTGAGTTAACAACAACTGAAGCAGCTATCACATTATCCGTGAAGAGACAGAAGTGGTAGAGGCTATTGTCAACAAGCCTAGGTGAGTTCCTGTTCTCATCTGCCACTTCATGGCGTGATGGCTCAGTTAACCAGTCTGACGTGAGCTTGATCGCCAAACAGTGGAGGCTCTTTGGTATTGCTTCAGCAACCGATTGCCCAAATATAGTGGTTTGAACATTAGCTGCGTTTGCACGCTCTTCAAGGGCTTGGATGTGAGACTTCATCGTCATCATCGTGGTGGCTATGTCGTAATGTACGTCTTGTGCCTTGTAGATAAGAGCTGATAAGCCACTAACAATCGGTTTTGCCTCATCTAATGAAATGGGTTGGCCTCTCATAGCTGCTTTGGAGAGAAGAAGCTGACAGCTTCTGATCTTAGAACTCAACTCCCAAGCTAAATGAAGATTGTTGTGCTCTTTGGCTATAAAGACATAGGCCTTGGCAAGCGTCATTTGCTCTGCTAGCTGTCTAGCGAAGGAGGAAGCACTTGTTACCTCTTCCGTGAAGTTTAAATTGGGAGGAGATACGTTATCGGTTCTTGTGTCTCTTTCCTACCAAAGAAAAGAAGTTTAGAGTAAGTTCTCCAAAGAAAAAAATCCTTCTATGTAGACAGTATGATACTATAAGTTGTTCATGTTCCCCCTTCCTATATTTTGTGAAATAATAGGTTAAACCCTGTCCTGACTAAGAAATCTCAACAAACTTTTTCATGAAACTTGGATTGTCTCCCTAGGAGCATTTCGTAACGACAAAATATGCATTCATGTCTTAGAAGTTTGGAGGAAATGTGTCATGAACAGACATCCAATAACAGACATAAAAATGTATTGATGTCTTAGAAATTTGGAGGAAATGCATCATGAACAGACATCCAATAACAATGTATCTATGAGTATGATATTAACATGAACATAACCAATTTCTGATTGTATGTCCTTTCAACAGGAGAGCTTAGCTTAGCTTAGCACCAAATTCTTCCCATCTGTAACTCTAGCTATGGCATAAACATTATCAAGAAATCTCATTCCTGTAAGAAACTATTTTTACACGTTGGACTTGAGAAATGCTCTGTTTTATGAGCTTCTGCACTCATAGACTAAAGAACAAAAAAAAAAAACCAACAAGCAATGTCAATAAAAGAAACTACACTAAGATTTCAACTTGCTGTTATGAAAAGAGTTCAACCTGCACTGATTCCATAGATACAGAGACCAACCTAATAACCATTCTCAGCTTTTAAAAAAAAAAAAAAAATTAGGCTACAATGAACAGTGGATTCACCAATCTTTTTGTCAGCACAAACAACAAAGATCCACACTTTTTAATGAGCACATGATCAACATAGCAAAACCCAAATCTCAGCAATCAATACATTGCTTTTCAAAAGAAATTAAAAAATCTTTGAAATACGGAACAGAGAGAGAGAGGACATACAAGTGTAAGCAGAGATGGATCTTGTTGTTGATGACGATGCTGAACCATAAAGAGAACCAATCCAGCAACAGAGAAAGCAGCAAGGAGAAGCCATATCCAACTCAACAATCTCCTTTTAGCTACCCTCCTGCTCCTCCTCATCTTTAAGCCCTACGAAATCCTCCACCGTTCCTCTCCAGATTCTTTCTTAAATCGATTTTATTACACTAAAACCCAGATTCGACCCAATGAAATTCGTGCCGACAGACAGAGGAAGAAGAATCTCAAAAGAGAGAGTGGAGAAGAAGTGAGTTTTGTGATTGTGATCTGCCTTTCTCGCTTTGCTTATTTTCTTCGCTGTCCTAAAAAACTAATAATAATAATGTTAATTATTTTCCAGATCTAATTTAATTCGCTTACTTAATGTCTTGTCTTAAAAATTATTTTGTTTACAAATCAGACCGGAACTAAGATTTTTTTTTATAACACAGATCGGAACTAAAATAAAATTGTCTATTAACACCCTATTAGATAGTCGGTGTGTTAAAATCAATGTTTAAGAACTCGTTGGGCGCTAGTCGGGCGTTCGGCTTGGGACTAGCGCCTAGTCGATAAATCGGAGATTAATTGGGAATTAATTTTTTATTTTTTTCTTATTAATATATGTATATATACAACAAGATGTGTTTAGACATCAAAGTGCGTCGTTGGCTAGTGGTATTCGAAGTTTGTGTTGTATTTAGAAGGACCAGAGTTTGATTCTCTACTTTGTCATATTAAATTTTCGGCCAAAATTTTTTTAAAAGCAACAAACGAGAATCTCACATCGGTTATAACCAAAGAGAGTAAGGTTGAAGTCATTATAAATAGTCACACATATTTGTAGTAAAAACTTGCAATTGGGCTTACAATATCTTAAATTATACGTCCATGATTAGCCGTATAGTCCAAAGTTAGTCGGAAAAAAATCGGTTAAAAATTCGATTAATCGGTTAATCCTTCGATTTCTTGGTGAACCGATTAATTGGACCGCCTCGGTCATAATCGTGGCGGTAGTTGGCTGATTTGCGTTTAGCTGGACGATTAATCGGTTAGGTACCCGCATTTTTTAACAGAGGTTTAAACAGATTCGTCTTTGTCCAGCTCAATTTTTTCTCTTTTATAACGCTGTCGTATTTGGTGGGATGAACAAATGGGCTAGTGGTCCCGTTTTCGTTGTTTTCTTTTCTCGAACTTTGGGCTTTTCTTCCCATATAAGGAATCAAATTGGCCTATCCGGAAAAGGAAATGACATTTGGTGAGAAGGTGGAAAACATGAGTCGAGTTAACATCTACAACAACGACAGCAAAGTTATCAAAACAAAGAGGTTGCTCAGTAAGAAGATTTCAGCTATTCATTTATTAAATAATTCTTTTAACTGTTATCCTGTTTTTGGCAAAGCTTTTGTCTAATCCACTGGATGGTGATTGCATCTTTTTATCAAATCGCATATTCTTCTATATGCCTAACAAAGGTAAACATGCAGTACCAATCAATTAATAAGCGACTTTCAGTGCAATCAGGAGAAGAGTAGTCGCATAGAAAAGTCATTAATTATAATAGATACTAGCTACTATCGTATATATGTTATGTTTTCTAAGAATCAGATTTGTAGACAAATTATTTGGACGTTAATTTAGATGTTTTCATTTGGACGTTAGATGTTTTCCTAATACAATAAAATTACACAACTCTTGATGGGAGAAGAGGAACCCTAACTCATAAGAAGATAAGCAAACCCCAATTTTTTGGAGAAGTGAATTGACTCAATAAAATTATGAGCAGCTATAAGAGCACTCTCGTTGGGTGTTCAAAAGAAGAAGAAAAAGAGCGCCATCATTGATGCAATATCTAAAATGAAGTGTTATAATAGACTGAGAAAAAAAACTAATTAATATCCTAGATTCCTAATAAAGCTCAACTATTTATTGCTCGACTCATATCATCATAACTTTAGATTTTCTCTTTCGAGTAATTCTTGTTGGTTCTCTCCGAGTTTTAATTTAAAGAAATTAATTATGTTTTAGGGATATAGACGCTTTTAATCAAAGAAAAACAGGAAACTGCAATTGAATGCCAAATCAAAGAGAAGAATACATTGAACACAGTTTCCCATTAAATCCGCATATAACATGTACACGTACCCAATTAGCTACACTGAAGACAGTTTCCCATTCAAATCCACATAAACATATACATCGTACCCAAATAGCTCTTGCTCTTGAGATAAATATTTTTGGTTATGTGGTTATGTAAACTTTAAATGAAATAATAAAATATTCCAATAATTGCAATATATCGGTGTCAAGTTGGTCACTGAGTCCAGGGAAACCTCACGAGCGTATCTTGGGGGCATTATTCTATAGTTCGACCATTTGTAATATTACTTAATTATTGTTTCTTTCGCCTATGTACGTTGAAGTTTGAACAAGAAATAGTTAATGCAAATGAAAAGGAGCCAACCTTGAAAGTTTATGATTCGGTAAATAAAATAATACATACATGCATGGTTACTTCACTGAGTATTTTGTTATAGTTTGTTTTGTGGCATTATTACTATTACGTAATGTGATCCTTTGAAATGTCAAGAGTCAGGCGCAAGAATGTGGCACAGCCATAGCATGCCAACTGCCATGACCGGCAATGACTTGTGAATCTGTGACGACCCACCACATACTCTTTGCATTATTTAGAATAATGCATCTTTAATACAAAAGAGTATCAGATAAGAAGTTGAGGATTAAAGGAGAAAAAGAAAATTAGATGGCCCGGTTGATTACGCAATGTACATTATCACAGAATACAACTTGTTGATTAGATTTATATGTCGTTCATTCGCGGAGGCAGCCCTCGCTACATTAAGATTTTGTAGCTATATATCTTTAGATTTATTGTTCATAATTTTTTGTAATAATTTTATCATTTAAACCAGAAATTCATTTGTTAAATTTATCCTTATAACTTCCACTTATGAGTTGACTAGCAGAAAACTGGGACCAAATTTTATGTTTTTAGGTATACGAGCTCTAAAAGTGTTACTTTATTTTATTTTAAAATAAAAGAGTTTTATAGTAAAATTAAGTTGTATTCCAAATTTATTCTCTTTTTAAGGAATCATGAATAAGTATAGTAAAGAAATATAATACAATTACTTTAATATAAACTATTTTTTTCTTATCTTATTTTATAGTAAATTAAAAATATGTTATTAATGTAAAAATAGAATGAAATTAAAAATGATCTTATAGCAAGTTTCCATATATGTTTAGCCCTTTATCAAAAAAAAAAGTTTCCATATATGTTTCTTCTGACCAGAGAAAATATAATATAAAGATATTTTAATCAGAAAAATTGCTATTGTTTTGTAATTTATACTGTTCCTGGAGATACTATTTTAGTGTTTATAATTTCTCATATCACTTTATATATAGAGAAGACACATTGAAAAGGAAAATCATCCAACTTTTTCAAATAATATTTATTGGAACAAGCTTTTACTTTTGTTTTATACATAGTGCTTTCAAAAGGATGTAATGGTAATGCAAATCATCTCCTCTTTAATCCTTGGAATGTTCAAAGAATGGCCACTTGCTTTATGTCGGTCACTCATTAGAGAAATTAAATTATCTTTATTGTATGTATGCTAATATCAACCTGCTCGATGCACTATCGATATATAGGCTACTAAGCAGCTACCAAAGCAACTGTGTAACACAACCCACAAGTAAAATAATAGTAGTAGTGTTAAAATAAGGGACCCTTAAAATAACGTAATACTCATGTTCGGATAGTTTCTTGTTTTGTTTTGAAAAGAGGCCTAAATCATGTTCAGATATATAGTTACAAATCTTTTTTAATAATGATGTATAGTTACAAATCGACATTCCAAATAACGCAATTCATCATGTTCGCGATTTATAAATAAAAATAGTCAAGTATAATACACTCCTTAAACCTTTTATTACATTACCATAACTTCATAGGAAACACACTTGAGGTTAAACGTACAAAAGAGTAAAAAATAAACACGAAAAATACATTCATATATCACAGTACAAGCTGCATGCATGGTTCATCATCATCATTATCATTATTCATTATTATCATATTCATTATTATCATGATCATCAGCCTAACATATCCATCGACATGATATAAACAAGATCATATTGAAATGATCATGCATGTAGGATTCATCAGAAGATTCACTCATGCAAAATAGTTATCAGTCTCTTCAATATTGTCTTTATGTTCATTGACGGGCATCACCTGGACGTCGTCACTCACATCCTCCTGAAGAAAGCTCGTAAGTTCTTTCATGAACTCAGTGTTGTCAACACAAGACTCTCCGAACATCATGAAATCTTCATCATTCAGAAAATTTGAGAATCCGAGATTATCCTCATTATCACAGTACATTAAACTATCATTAACGGATGCATCAGAGAATGTGGACGGAGACGATGTAGCGTTACCGTTAACGGTCATCTGGCATAGAAGATCTGATGAGGTTGGTGTGAAGGAAGAGCTAATTGACTTATCTGATTCGGAGTTAATGGTGACACTTGTAGTAGTAGTTGTGTGACTTGTAGTGGTACTAGTAAGTGGGCCACCACTTCCGATAATCTCAGACAAAACACTTTGATTGATTCTCTTACCGAACCTATTAGCTACTCTGTTCAAGAACCTGGCCGATGAGAGTCCAGACTTCTTGTTGTCATTCTTCACCTCCTCTTTATCAAGATTATCACCACTCGTTATAATTTCTTGAATAACGTTTTGTTTCTCTGGAATCTCCGGGAGGTTTTCTGATTTGTCGGAGATCAGGCTCTTGTGTGTAACCGGATCGACACCTTTTTTGATCAAAAGTTTTTTGATATGAGTGTTCCAGTGGTTCTTGATTTCGTTATCGGTTCTTCCTGGTAATCCACGAGCTATTGCAGCCCATCTGATTAAACACCATAAGATTAGTCATGATGATAACATAGTATATGAGTTTTTTCTTTTCTTTTTGGAACACATAGTACATACTAATTGTTCTAAGAGTCTAAGACTTACATATATAACGTATGATTTTTTTTTTTTTTTTTTTTTGAAAAGTAACGTATGAATTTTCAAACCCAAGATATTTTGTGATAGTTCAATTTTCTTTGCTAGATAGTTGAAATACGTTTGTTTTATTGAAAACACAAATACTTTCCTTCCTTTTGGCACATATTATTTGTAAATTATAAGCATAAAATGTAATCCTGTTTTGTAATTATACAGGCCGAGCAAACAAAGATTTTACTCCCTTTATTTACAAATTTTTGATAGTATTTTTATAAAAGTACTAAAATGTGTTACACGCGTAGCCATTTAAGTTATACTGGAAAGGAAAATGAACAAAACAATGGGATTTTTTCAAACAAAAAAAAAACAAAAAACAAAACAATGGGACAACTTAGAAAAAAAAAGTGGAGAGTGAGAGATAAGGAGACTAACTTGTTGCCATGAAGGGCATGGAGAGAGATGATAGAACGTTCTTCATCTTCAGTGAACTCTCCTCTTTTGATGTCAGGTCTTAGATAATTGGCCCATCTCAGTCTGCAGCTTTTGCCACATCTCTTGAGTCCTATCATTTGAAAAAAATATTTTATATTAAAAATTATTGATCAATAATTACTAAAAATGCCAAACATTGAATATTCAAATATGGCGGAATATAATAATTAACAAAAAAAATATATACCAGCTTTTTCGGGGAGAGTTCGCCATCCACCTTCACCGTGACGGTTGACGTAGGAGACAAGCTTCTGATCTTCCTCTGGAGTCCATGCTCCCTTCTTCAACCCTAGTTCAGCTTTGCAACATGGTGTTCGCACCATCTTGAGTTCTTGATTTTTGTGATTATTTTGATCGCGTTCGAAGCGGTTGTTCCCAAGTGATATATGGAACAAAGAGAAAAAAAAAATTGAAAAACTGAGAGTTGAAACAAAGTGTGAAAGGGGACATATGATCATAACGATTGAGCACATGATCTTTTGATTAGAGAGTTCAAACATCGGTAGATTCTTCTTATAGACATCTTGCTCTTTTGTGATACCAAGAAGAACACAAAGAGATCTCTACTTGCTCTGTTTTCTTACCACAAGAGAGAAGCGAGAGAAGCTTTAGTTTATTTTTTTCTAAGAGTTGTTTGTTTCACTTGCGAAGTGAGCAACTTTGAGGATGAGGAAACATCTTTATTTATGCGTGCTTGTAGCTGTACATGTGGCTGCCTAACGACGTCGTTTTTCACGATAATGACAGATGGCTCGTTTTGATTCATTACTCAGAGTTTTTCTTTTGTATTTATTAAAAAAAATCATGCAAACTTTAAGTGGAATTTTCGAGATGGACGTCTGATTCTTTCCATAAGATTCATAATTCATTTTCTTTTCTTTTTGGTGCACAACAAATAATGGTTCTCAAACAGTTACTATATAATATTTATCCCATGCATGACCGCCATTTCTGATATCAGATGTGTCCGCTTTTCAGAAAAGAATTACTTAAAAAGTTTTTTTGTTTTTGGTTTACCAAAATTAGTACTTCATTTCTTAACTTATGCATACCAATTATGTTATATATTTAGTGATTTTTTTTATATGGAGTAGATTTTAAATAAGCAAAAAAAAATATGAATGTAAAATTAACATCCGTAATCCTGGTGAAAGCTACCCAATTAAATTCGAATTGCTCATAGTTATTAATATTATGTTTTCCATGCCAATATCAAATTTTCTCAAAAGTATACAGTACATCTTTGTCAAGAACAATACAGCGCCGCAGCATTTGGGACACCAATTAAATTATAGTCTGTTGAATATTCTTTCAGATTTTTCTGAAGATATTTGCGTTGACTAAATAGGTCGGTCCAAGCAAAAAAAAAAAACAATACATTTTTAGCCAATATGAAAAAAAAAAGAATTTAGTGGAAAAAATCAACCTTGCTAAAAGAATAAAATCTATAACGATCTGAGACATTGTTGCCAAAAAAAACAAATTGAAAAACAAACAAAATAATACATGTTCTGTATATTATATTGTTTGGTTTTAAATTTGAAAATTATAACGACACTAACACATCTAAATTTGTATATAAATTGAAATAAGGTGAACTTCACAAAAAAAATATATAATATTATACATCTCACAAACTAATAATATGTTCCATTAGAATGTCGACTGAAATAATGCATACCGAAAATAATAATAACAATAATTAATACATACGTACCAAAGACATCGGCTTTCTCAAAATTTATTCAATCCGTAAGAGATGGAGTGCGGACTTTTCTAAGAACGACTGAAATCTCCATATTATTTATTAAATTCAAAATATTTTTTAAAGAACATTAGACGACAAGCTATTAAACAATAGGCAAAACGAAACACATAATTGAAAATTCGAGGAAGGTGAGTAATTTATACATACACAAAAAGTGGGCGTATTTGAATTCGATAAACTAAGCAACAACTTGGTCACTCAAACACTGGACTTGGACATATCGAAACCGATCATACCAAGAAAAAAAAACTATAGGGACCAAAGAAAAACAATGGCTTTTAGATTTCGTACAATAGTTTCCACTCTTTTATTTCGACTAGTCAACACTTAACTTTGTGTTTTTGTCTTCCAGCGACTTTAGATGTGCGATTTAATTTTGTAAGCTAAGAACGACGACTACCTTATGGTCTTTATCCATGAACAACGTTTTTTTGTTACATAACTATTCGTGCTAAAAGAAGACAACTAAAAATATTAATTCTCTTTTATGTCGATTCTTGTCCAGACCTTTAAAATCGCAATGTTAGTTTACTAGTGCTATATATACTACTATATAGGTAAATGAACTTTGCAAATGGAACATATAAGAAACTAAATTTTCAATTAATATTATTGAGCTATGTGTTGAACATTTTGCTATGACCCAACTTCGTGTACTCATTCAACAAAACAAAGATTAGACTGGTTCCATATACATTAAAACTATTAATTAAAAATGTTGATACTATACTATTTTATTAATTGATAGAGTAATTAATTTATAACAACTTCATTTTTATATTTCTCTATTTTACAATATTTTTAATAAATCAAGAACAATAGTTATTTTATATATTATTGAACTTTAGAAATTCAACTTTTATATAATTTTAATTATTATATACAAAGTTTCATAGAATTTTAATTTGGTTTTAGATATACTTTTACCAAATGTTATCAAAATATATTGAAGTGTTTAGAAAAACAGAGATAAATTCTATTGTGAATATTAAAAAATCAGCTAATGTTTTGTTTGTACGTATATAAAGTTTTAATATATATATATATATATACATATATAAATTATAATTTATGATTTTATTGGGACTGTATATTTATATTGAATTTTTTTCAAAAATATTATTTTATTATTTTATCGATTTATGTCATATTTTAAACTGGTCTAAATTAGAATGAAAAAATATTAATTAATATATTTTATTAGTTTATCTAATTTATAGAATTTTTGCTGTTTCAAATGGTGAGAAGTGAAAACAATGCAACCCATAGAAGTAAAATTATAGAGGCAAAGGCTTTTTACTTGTGTCAACTAGAGGCAATAGCCTTTACTTGGATCATATATAGGGTATGAAGGGTGACCAATGAACGACGAGGAATAATTTTTCATTCTTGTTCCTTCTCATTTCTTTTTTGTAGAAGAATATAGAACAAAATTATTTCTTATTAACAATCATTTTTTTTCTTGTTCATGCAAGTTTATTCCTATCCATTCCGTTTCTTTTCATTCTTATCGTTGTTCCTAGTGTAGTCAGACCGATAATGTTTTGGATAATTTGGTCTATATAAAGGCTTATGAAATAAAAAAACCATATAAGATTCCAGCCCATAAACACACATATTAGGCCCATTAGGTTTCATTTGCTTCATATCGTCCTTATATTTAACAGCACCCAACTCCAATCTAGGGTTTACGCACGCCACTGATAGTTCGCCTCGTCGCAGAGAAAAGAAGAAACAGAGAAAAAATGCCGGCGGCTAAGCAGAGGACCCCGAAAGTAAGCCGCAACCCTGATCTAATCAGGGGCGTCGGCAAATACTCTCGCTCGCAAATGTATCACAAGAGAGGTCTGTGGGCAATCAAGGCCAAAAACGGCGGCGTTTTCCCACGTCACGACGCTAAATCCAAGGTCGAAGCTCCGGTTGAGAAGCCGGCTAAGTTTTACCCGGCGGAAGACGTTAAGAAGCCTCTCGCCAACAGACGCAAGCCTAAGCCTACAAAACTAAAGTAAAAATCCATTTTCTTTAATTGGCTTTTTAATCTAAAATAGAATTTGCGTGTAGGTTACGTAACAGAATAGTTTTGGATCATTTGTTAGAATCAGTAGTGTTTTTTTATGTGTTTGGAGGATTAAGTGAAATGTTAGATTAATTAGAGATTTGCTTATTCCCTTACAGCAAGATTAAGTTATGTTGTGTCTGTTTTTTTATATTGGCTTTGATTGGCTTTTTAAGTGAACTTAAATCTAAAATAGGTTTGTGCGTGTAGGTTACGTAACAGAATAGGGTTAGATTATTTGTTTGAATCAGAAGTGTTTGGAGGATTAGCTACAATGTTAGAGATTTGCTTTAGTCCTTACAGCAAGATTAAGTTATGTTACGTCTGTTTTTTTTAATTATTATGTCTGTATTGTAGAGCAAGCATTACTCCAGGAACAGTGTTGATCATCCTTGCTGGTAGATTCAAGGGCAAGAGAGTTGTCTTTCTCAAGCAACTCACTTCTGGTTTGCTTTTGGTTACTGGTGAGTTCTTGTAATAGTGATATGGTTTGTTCAATTTGGAAACTGTGTGTTCATATGTTCTTGTGTTTCTTTCAGGACCATTCAAGATCAATGGTGTTCCATTGAGACGTGTTAACCAGTCCTACGTGATTGGAACGTCCACAAAGGTTGACATTTCTGGAGTCAACATTGAGAAATTCGATGACAAGTACTTTGGAAAGGTTGCTGAGAAGAAGACAAAGAAAGGAGAAGGCGAGTTCTTTGAAGCTGACAAAGAGGTAATATATACATAAGTGCTCTTTAAGCAAACACATTCATCTAATTTTCATTACTGACTTGTTACATTTTCTTTGGTATCCACAGGAGAAGAAAGAGATCCCACAAGAGAAGAAAGAAGACCAGAAAACAGTAGATGCAGCTCTGATCAAATCAATTGAAGCAGTCCCAGAGCTCAAGACTTACCTCAGCGCCAGGTTCTCTTTGTCACAAGGAATGAAACCACATGAGCTTGTCTTCTAGATATTTCATCTTATCGTTTTTGTTTCCCCTTCAAGTTTCAAGAACATCTGTTTTCCCCTGAGTTTTTGTCCCTGGATCTTAAAAAAAAAATACACTATTTTCTCTGTTTTATACATCAACTTTCTATCAATCAACCACATCAAAGAAAATTATAGGATCATGAATTAGTTTTTAAACCAAAATAATCAACAGCAGATTTAGCCATAATGGAAGCAAATTCACCAAGGCTAATAACACCATCACCGTTTGTATCAGCATCTTTGATCATCTCCGTTAATTCTCTATACGTCAATGGCTGTCCCATCTTGGCCATGGCTCCAGCCAATTCCGCCGCGGTGATGAATCCATTACCATCTCTGTCGAAAGATTTGAAAATGTCGTGTAGCTGTTTGGAATTGATGAGGATCTCTTCGTTCAGGTCGGGAAGAATGCCTACGAGCTCATCAAACTCCACGAAACCGTTGCCATTTGCGTCCATAGTTGCTAACAGGACGTGGATTTGGTCGCCGGATGGTTTGAGACCGAGTGAACGGAGAAGGGCCGCGAGTTCTAAGATGGTTAAGCTTCCGTCTGCGTCCATGTCGAACCGGTTGAATATGTCTTTTAATTGTCTTAGCTGATTATCCTCCATTGTCTTGGCTACTTTTTGTTTCCGAACATAAACTCAAAAACGACCAAACAATGTCCACGAGAGAGATGTACGATGATAAAAAAGATGAGGTTATTTATTTATTTTTTTGCTTCGTGATTTACAATGATAAAACAAGATAATGTTGTGTTTGTTAATTGTTACTGATAAAAATAGAAATAAAGATTTTACCAAAAAAAAAAAAAAAGAAATAAAGAAGATAGAAAATCAGATTTTAAACATATTGTTGTGTTACTTGTGTAGCAAATATGAAGATGTCCTAAGAAACAAACATATGAAAATAGAAACGTGACGAGTAATTAAAACGTTAGGATAATTATACAATAAAGGAGTTAAATACGAGACACGAGTGGTAAGAAAAGTGATCATGATGATTAGTTCGAAACAAACATGACAATCCTAAGAAACCAAAAGATAATTAATTAAAACTAACCAACAAAGAGATTAAAAAAAGACAACATAGTGATCATGCACCATCACTTTTCGTAGCTGTCAGATTGTTAAGACGAGCACGGCAACCGCAGGTACAGACGGCGATGAGGAGTATGAGGAGACACATGTTGAAAACAAGAAGATGTCTCCACTTCTCTCTTATGTTGGCTAACACACCCGCTTTGCATGCGTTGCAGTTAAAACATAACTCCGTTTGCACGTTACTCCACGCACCGCAGTCGCCGTTTTCCGTCGTTGCATTTTTCGCCTGCGGTATCCAGAACGTCGCGTTTCTGAACTGGAAGTTGCAATCAGACGGTGGCTTACAACAACCTGACTACTCAACATGACACAAAATATAAAAACATCTCATAATAAACCGATAAATAACAAATACATGTTTAATTGTTAGACGATAATTAAACATTTTAGAGAATTATGATTAAACATCTCATAACAAACCGATATTAAACGCTGCTTATAGATTCGTTTTAGAAAATCATTTTGTTTATATACTGTTTTTTTAGATTATACTTATAAAATTACACGTAAGGAATGAAAATACCTGGATAGGAGACAAGTTCTTGCGATAAAACGCATCAGCGATCTGACTAACACGACCATCACTCAAATCATCACAAACGTTTGCCTCAGCCAAACAAGACCTTATACCAACCCATCTATTCCCACCAACAAAGCTGTTAAGCCAAATCGAAAAGTCCACGGTCCGGTACTCTCTATACCCTCGACCAGAGACGACATGACCGGCTCCTTTGTTGGTCATAAAGAAGAGAAATATCGAGAAAATCATTAACACAACAATACCCGCAATGAGTATGATCAAGTAGGAGATCATTGCGACATTCTCCTCGAAGCAAGATCCTATCACTCCGAGTAAAGACACCACGAAGAGGATGATTCCTGTCGTGAGGAGTGGTGCACGAATGGCTGATTCACAATCGGTCACGTCTTGATGAACAAACATGTAAATAGAGTAACCAATGGCTGATGCGCCCACTAACATCACTAACGTGTTGGCTAGACCCACAACGAAGTTGCTCACTCGAAACATTTTGTGATTTTTTTTTTTTTGTCTTTTTCTCTCTAGCGAATGGACTCGGATATCAAAGAGAGGTTTGTGATTCTAATATGATGACTTTGTTTTGTTACGGTTTAGACGGAACGGTTGATTTTTTAGTGGGGAGATTAGTAGATGTTTATTACTGGTTTATGCCACCAGAGTTGGAGAACGTGTGTGAGTTAGTTACATTGGTTTTTTTTATTGTCTAATCGAAAGTCACTAACACTCGACTCTTAGAGAAAAGTTTGAAAAATTCGTAACTATATTTACTGAATCCGATATTGGTGGAAAATGAATCTGATATACATTTTGTTTTTTTTTTTGGTGGATTAAATACTGAGATGATTTTATCCAAACTCTTTTAAGATGAGAGAGTTTGATAAACAACATGCAGTCACAATGAAATTAGGGATATAAAGATTTGAAATTAACTTACCATAACTCATACCAACACAGATTCAATAGGTTACATTAGTGTGAACCAAATAGTTAATCTTTAACCTGATATTATTGGGTTACAAACATTGTCTAACCTTCTCATAAATGGAAACCACAATAATTTGCTCAAAGAAGAGCACAAGAATCTGCTCATCTTCATACAAAGAATCCAATACTGCTCCACCAGCAAAACAAATCATCCATCTAAACAAAGACAATCAGTTTAAGCTTTGACTTCCACTTGCTTAGGAACATGTTCAGCTGGTACCAACAACCCCAAACCAATTTTACTATCACCACCCTTCTCCTTATACAACGGATTCGACGTAACAACCCTCACACCAGAGCCCTTACGAATCTCCAAAACCTCAGGCAACCCATCCGAACACCCTTTAGACATCCCCACATCAATCCTAATAGCTTTATCATCACAAACACCATTAATCCCACCATCCTGTATCGTATGCCCCATAATCATCCTCTTAACACCCGGAATAGTCGAAAGCGCATGCTCAAGAGCTTCACAATCACACTTATAAGGCCTCTCATCAGAAAACTTCCTCAACCACACCACAGAGTTCCCTCCTCTACAATACACAGGAGCATACCTCCCTCCTCCTCCTCCTAAACCATTAATCCAATCCCTAACCTCCTCATTAATCCTCTCAAGTCCATACTCTACATGCTCAGCTAAAAGACCTCCATGAACAAACACCGAGTCACCAACAACAGCAACCGTCTGATTCCTCCCCAAGAACCTCTTAGCAACCGGACTCCCAGGTCTCAAAGCAGCAATCCTAGCCCTAATCCCTTCGAAACACTCCGGGTTCGCACGTGGGAACCACGTGGGAACCCCTTCGTAAGGATCTTCAAACTTCTCCTCAAGACCTTTACACAAACTCTTCATCTGATTCCCTAAACAATACAGATCTAACCAAACTTTAACTTCCTCTAATCCTTTCTTGGTAACATACCTAAAGTCGCCTTCTACGTTCATAATCTCATGGTTACCGTTCATCGTCACAACCTTACCTCCGCTCCTCTCCGCCTCGCGCTTCAGCCTCTCGAGGAAGTAGAGTATCTTAACCTCGTCTCCGCCGCGATCGAGCACGTCGCCGACTTGGACGACCACGGTGGATCCGCCTGTCCATCGATCGGAGGAATCGATTAATCCGGCGAGTCGGAAGGCTTCCTTGGATTTCTCGAGGTCGCCGTGGAGGTCGCCGATGGCGACGAGGCGGTCCGGGGAGGAGAAACGCGTTTGCGGGATCGGGTGAGGTGGAGGAGGGGTGGGGAAGTGCGGCGGGAAGGTGCCGGAGAAGGAGTAGTCGATGAAGGTGTCGACGAAGGAGGAGATGAGGTTTGGGATGGTTTTGCAGATTCCGTTAGGGTTTTTTTCTTTGTTTGACATTTTCTCGATGTGGGTGGTTCGAGGCGACGAGGAAGCAGTGATGGTGGAGATTAATTCGGTTTTTGTTTTGTTTGTTAGAACCAAATGGAATTAAAATATACCGAACCGAACCGAAGTGTACCAAGACTAACCTTTCGATCATATGCGTTGGTTAATTATATACGTAGAAGAATGCGCGCGCTTTATTTTGTTAGCTGCGGTTCTTTCCTAAAACTCAATTAATAAGAGGTAATTTTCCATAATAACTACTTTAATTTGTTAATATGAAAATAATATTATATTATTCTGAGACAAAGGTAAATTGATTATTATGAAGAATAAAAGGTGGAAAATTCGAACAAATGTGTTAATTTTCTACATTCCGAAAAGAAAAAAAAAAGTTAGGTAAAACGCTAAGCCAAGATATGTGTGTTTTGTTTCGGCTATCTATGTTGATATCATTTAGGGTTGGGCTTTGGATCTCTCAGAGTTATTTGGGCTTGTTCATGTATGGTTCTCATTTTCTTGGCAAGCTTTTTGTATGGTCTGGTCTTCATGTTCTTCTATTTGTTAGGTTTATCTATATTTTGTCAAATGTTGGATTTTGAAAATGGGCAGACTCTTTGATAAAAGAAACATTATTCCGTAAATCAAATGGCTATATGATGATAGCTGTAATCAGCTAATGATAATTATAGTCTAAAACACTAGTTTAAACTAAACCACTTATGACAAATTGTTATACACTGATCAGATAACTAATATTAACTTTCATGGTAATCAGAAACAAGTACTAGTATGCACCCTAAACACCATGTTCGTAGTTAGTTAAATAATCCGCAAGCCGTTAATCGCAGCTTTCATAAGTTACAAGCTGCAAAAGTAATTATATAAATCTTAGCTAAATGTTGCAGTGTTAATAATCTCAACATTTGCCTGGTCAGAACCCAAAATAACTTATACCATATTTACTACATAATTTTACCTTTCCCAAACAAGACAAGATTCACTATGTGTCCGTTGAAAGTGTGTCAGATTGAACAAAAGAAGAATAAGACGTGTCAGTATTATTGCAACATTTTAATACTAGTTTAGCACCGTCAACGCTCTGTTGCTGTTACTTGTTAATCTCCAATTATGCAGGTTGTTAAATTAATTTATTCTTAATTTTTAGACCATTGGTTATGCGTTTTGAAAGTTTAAAGACATTTCTTCTACATCTATTTGTATAACTTGTGAGATTTAATGAAATTCAGTTACCCCACACACGTAGAAGATATATGGCTACAAATCTAATTTGCCAGATATTTAAATGCAGTTGTTTTGTTTCATAAGTCACAATCATAGAAATATCATCGTTTGTAGTAGATAAGGTCACGACTTTCCAAAGTATAAAGTATTTTAAACACTTGTTTTTAAATAAAACTGAGTGTTATGTAATATGTTATGTTTATCTGTCTGTATATATTTGGATAAGTCACGATTTGCTAAAGAATAAAACGAAATAAACAAGGAGGGGAGCATGAGAGATCGTGTTAATGCGGGCCATATCATTAATACTATACAGTAAATTGATATGAATTTTAAATGTTTTGATGATGGCCTACCCTAGGCTACTAATATGGTCTTTGATCCAAATTCGCTAATGCTAAACATAAAAAAAAAGATAAACGAGATTTAATTTAAGTCTCAAAAGTAATTTAGTGACATTGAAATTTAGCTCAACTTTGTATAAAAAAATATTTCACCTAAATTAAAAGTCAGTCTTGTTAAACATAAATACTTTACCCTAACAATTAGGAAGCACTTAAGTATTAAAGATTCACCGTTTTTAATTACAAAATTCAGTTTTTTTTTAATATAAATTAAAATCCTTACATGTGGGCATAGAATTCAATTACTGAATTTTCTTTTATTTTTTTACCATCAGGAATCCATTAAATAGGTGTTGAAGCGGTTACCTAACTTGACATAATAATCAAATCCTCAGATAATTAAGATAACGAAAATGACACAAAGCGCGTTTGCGTTTCAATTATGGCGTGCAAGCAAAGCTAACAAAAAAAACAGAGAGAGAAAGTAAAAGGGAATCTGAAGGGCAAATATAATAAAATAAAATAAGATAAAATAAAAGACGAGGAACAGAGAGAGACGAAAAGGAAGGAGAAGAAGCAGAGAAGAGAGAGAGAGAGAAAGGAGGGGTCCATTAAAAACCATTGCAGCATTTCTCGACAAGCGTTTACTCGACATTAGATAGAGAGAGAGAGACAAAAGAGAAAAGCTTCGAACAGAGATGGATTCAAAGACAGAGATTCTTCGTTAGAGAGAGAGAGAGAGAAAAAGAGGATTATTATGAGTTGTAGGAGAGTGCTGAAGTCGATACAAGCCTTGTCGGCTCATACTTTACTCTTATGTTTCACGCTCTTGTTGGTTCTTAAGCTCGATCACACCCTCTCCTCCTCATGGTGGTTAGTTCTTCTCTTCTGTCTGAAATTGTCTGCATGAATCAGTTTTTGGTTCGTATCTGATTGGTTTATTTCAATTTTCATTGGCACACGTTCATTTACCCGATTGAAAGTTTTGACCTTTTTCTAATTTTGAATCGAGAGATTGTCTCTATGACTCGAATAGAAAATTAAGGTTTTTTGTTTGTTGTCTCTAAGAAAATTATTGTCACACGCTTAGTTTCCTTGATAGGATTGAAAGTCAGTTCCTTTCATATTCCTTGTCTCTATTGGCTGTTAATAGTATATAGGAAACAAAAAGAAACACTCACATCAGTTGTTGCAGCTTTTGGAAACTCATTTATGTATGTATTTTGTATTTAAGACGGTAGATTACATCCTTTAGAGGCACTGTCTTTAAACAAAAATAGCTCAATCAGGATTGCAACAAAAGTTATGTTATGTTAGAGACTTAGATGCAGTAGGGTTTCAGTTTTTCACTATGGTCCTAATCTATAACAGTTATATCTCTTATTTTTGTTACAGACTTGATTAATTTATTTCTGTTTATGTGGTTATATGTAGGATTGTATTTTTGCCGCTGTGGGCTTTTCATGCAGTTGTTGCAAGAGGAAGGTTCTCCCTTCCTGCTCCTGTTGCTCCCCGTAACCGTCATGTATGCCCTTTTTTCTTACCTCTTTTAGTAGTAAATCCTAATGATAATACTACGATAAAGTTTATGATCCCTTTTTGTTTTCTACAGTGGGCTCCATGTCATGCTGTTGTTGCCACACCTTTGCTTGTAGCATTCGAATTGCTTCTATGTATATACCTCGAGAGTTCTTATGGTAAATATAAACTCTACCTTCACATGTCACACTACTGGGGTTTGTTTGTTTGTTTGGGCGGTTGGTAGTATATAAAGCCTCTAGTGATCTAGTTTCTTTGGTATGGGGATATATTGATATATGTAGATACTTAATAAAAATGCTGGCTCAGGTTCTCAGAGTTTCATTTTGCTACCAATACCTATGGTTAAGTTGGTGAACATCAAATTTTGAAAGAACTGTTGTTCCTTTGCTTTCATTTCATCGGATTTTGACCTCTTCTATCTGAAATGGCAGGTAGCTGGCCACCAGCTGTGAGTTTGAAAATTGCATCTCTACCGTTATTGGCATTTGAAGTAACGATACTCATAGACAATTTGAGGTATTGGAATGTTAAATGTTGTAACTACTTTCATGACTTCACTTCAGCGAACTTCTTCTAACAAAGACATTCTCTTTATGTGTCGTTTGAACACAAACCAAACTGAATCATATAAATTTGGAGTTCCTCATAAGTAATAACTGCAAGCTTTGTCTTCAGAATGTGTCGAGCATTGATGCCAGGAGATGGCGACAGCACTAATGATGAAGCAATATGGGAGGCACTTCCTGTAAGTCCTCGTGTGTTTCTTAAAATTATTTGGAGATTTGTTCAGCTGTTTCTCTTTGGCTTTACAATTTGTTTAAGTATTGTGGTAAGATCTATCTGTTACAGATGAATGAAAAATGGTTTCTAATTTTCCAATAACATAACTTAGTCTTGAGAGTATCAATTCATGAAGTGAGAAAAGAGAACCTTTTGATCAATCCATAAACACGAGCTTGGGATTATTTTTTCTTGCAATCTTTCGTTGATGGTCAGGGGAGGCTGATGCTTTTTTCCTTGTTGTCTGCAGCATTTCTGGGTGGCTCTCTCCATGGTGTTCACGCTGGCTGCTACATTCTTCACCCTCCTAAAGCTTTCTGGTATTATTGTGTCGCTTGAATGCTTGCCTAAATAGTTACCTTACTTGATCTCTATCTACTGAAACCCTATCTTCCACATAACATGTTATTGATGGAGATATTGTGTTCCATTCCTTCTTATCAGTTCCTCTTATTTTGAATACACAGGTGATATAGCTGCTCTCAGCTGGTGGGATTTATTTATAAATATTGGGTATGCTTTGTCTATATTTTTTTAAGTAGTTTTGTGGTTGGTGGAAACGCTCATGAAGGTAATATATGTGAAAAATGTTTTGCCTGCAGAATTGCCGAGTGCTTTGCTTTTCTTGTTTGTACAAAATGGTCCAACCCAGTGATCCATAGAAGCTCACGCGCCAGAGAAACGGGGTCGTCTTCTTCCACTGTAAGATATCTCGACTGGAACAGTGGCCTCGTAGTTGCTCCAGAAGAGGATAGGCACCAAGATAGGTTTTGTAGTCTACAAGATATTGGTGGTCACATGTTGAAAATACCCGTCATTGTATTTCAAGTTGCTCTTTGCATGCATCTAGAGGTATACACCACATGTTTCTCTATCTCGCCAAATATTGTCTTTAGACATTACTAAAAAAGTGCTGATGGGTTGGATTTTCAGGGGACTCCTGAAAGAGCTAAGGATATATCTATCCCGGTTTTGTTTTCTCCACTATTCTTACTGCAAGGGCTTGGTGTTCTCTTTGCTGCATCTAAGCTAATAGAGAAGATTGTCGTCTTATTACGTGGAGAAGCTGGACCAGGATTCTATTTTAGATTTTCATCTAGAGCCCATGATTGCTTGGGTTTCTTGCACCATGGTTCCAGGTGACTGTTCTTTCTCAGAAGGGTTTAATCTATAAATGTTATATACTGACAAAGTTACTTGCTCAGGCTATTAGGTTGGTGGTCCATTGATGAAGGAAGCAGGGAGGAACAAACACGACTTTACATTGATGGAGAATCTGGGTTAGTTAGTATAATCCAACTTTCTAATATGGTCTATCACTTACTGGACCTGCTGAAGATTCATGATAATATGGCTGTTGTGCAGTTACAATACCTTCAGTGGTCATCCGCCTGAGATAGTTAAGAAAATGCCAAAGGAAGATCTTGCTGAAGAGGTAACTTTATTTCTCTTTCTTGCATTTCTCTTTTCCAACTCAATGATGACATTAACTTTAGTTTTTTTTTTTGTTGCCGAGTCTTGTGTATTCTAGTTGCAAAAGTGTTTTTTACATTTGCTCTAATTTGATGCCATCTAGGTGTGGAGACTTCAAGCTGCTCTTGGTGAACAAACCGAAATCACAAAATTCAGCCAGCAAGAATATGAAAGACTGCAAAATGTAACTTTTTGTTTCCTTCCTCCATGCTCTCTCTGTGTTTCCATTATTAGTTGTGGTTGTTTTTTTGGTGTTTTCTTTATTGGTTTTTCTTTCCTCTTTCGCTTAAATCTGTTCCAAATCTGTCTTGATTCCAGGAGAAAGTGCTGTGTAGGGTTTGCTTTGAAAGAGAAATCAGTTTGGTACTGCTTCCATGTAGACACCGTGTTCTCTGCAGGTATGATACTTACTTCAACAATTTTGCATTTATCACTCGATTCATCTGGATTTTACTATATAAAGAAACTAGGATTAGATCTCATAGAACTCCATACTTAATGGAAATACTAGAAGTTTGAACAGCTTATCTGGCCCATAACATGAGTTCATGTTTTCTTTCTGTGCCATTTTTCTTCTTCTTTGCAGACTCTGTTCAGACAAGTGTAAAAAGTGTCCAGTATGTCGTATAACCATTGAAGAACGACTTCCTGTATACGACGTTTGACCGTGTCTAATGTTCGAGAGTAGGATTTGAGGTTGATGCTCCAAACATTCATTCCCCTTTTTTTACTACACTGTGTGCCCAAACCTTTGATCTGTTTTTGCTGAATCTTTTTATTTGTCCTGAGTCAGCATTAAGTATAAAAAAATAGGTGTATACACACATATATGTCGTTTCTTAGAAAACCTCATACATACTCTCTTACATTACTTCAGTTGTAATATACAACGTTTGTATAATATCAGTCTCTCCCTTTTTGTATAATATCTCTACTTATGCTTCCATGAGTTCATACTTGAGTTACTTGTTGTGGAAAGTGACACTGACATATATAGTCTATACAACACTGTTCTAAGCAAATCTCAATGAACAAAAGACATTACAAACAAGACACTATAAAACCCTATTTTTTCGTTTTAGCTGTTTCCATTTTCTTCTTCAGCTTCATCCCCTTCTTATGAACAGGCTGAGTCTTTGTCGGCTCCACGAGCAGCAACCGCGACATCACATAAGCTAAAAGCTCTTCACGGTGAGAAAAGGTAAAATCCAAATGAGCATACTCAAACTCATTGTAAGAAGCTTCAGCAACACCTGATTCTCTCATCAACCTGTAATGTTTCCTAACCATTGAAGGTCTAATCACTTTATCTTTCTTCCCAGCCACCAAGTCCACAGGAACATCTATCAACCCGTAAAACTCTCCCAGATCAAGCGGCTCAGGTAGGCCGTAAACGTCTACGTTAGCTTCAACGCTACCATAGTCAAACATTCTGAACTTCCTGCTACGTTTTATCTGAGCAAGATGAAGAGCCACACGGAAAGATATAGCAGGCATATCGTCCATGTTGTAGTGAGGCAAACCAATGACTCCAACCCAGTTTGAGCTATCTCCACCAACTACATAACCCATCAGTGTCTGGACCAATCCACCAACAGCAGGATAGTTGTGGAAGTCTCGAGCTAACTTGTTGAAAAGCATCCTGAAGAATCTAGTGGGGATGTAGAAAGCTGGAAAGATCCTGGATAGTACTGGACTCAAGAGGAGGAAGGAGTGCTCTATTAACGTGAAAAGAAGGTTGGAGTCTTCGTGAAACCCGGCAGGTGAAAGAAGGATCAATCTAGAGAGTCTGTGTGGTTTCTCTTCGATTCTACGGGTGATTACATACATCAGAACAGCAGCACAGCCTAGACTGTGAGAGAGTAGGCAGAGCTTATAAGGCTGCTCCTCTTTTGCTACCTCTTCTACATTAGGTTGGTAGAGTCTTAGTTCTGAAGTTTTGATCTCGTGAATCTTTTCTATTATTGCTGGGATGTCCTCTCTTGCATGCTCATTGATGGAGTAGCTCCAGAAGCTGCAGTTTGTTTAGTATCCATCAATAAAGAACTAGACAAGAAACCAAAGAAGTAAGTGCAGCTTTCTATATAACTCACTCTTTTGAGGAGATGTTTTTGTTCACATGATCTCTTGAAACTAAACCTCGGAAGTTCCCTAGGTAAACATCATAGCCTGAAAAGCAGAAAACAGAGTGAAACACACTGTAAATCTCTATTACACATGTATCACAAAATGGTACCTTGATCATAAGCTGCAAAAGCTGGAGAGCCAACAACTCCATTTGATACCCATCTGAAGATACAAGGAACATATGAGATAGAGAGAGGCAACAAAAAGTTTCAAAGAGACTGTGAAACTAACCCCATTGAAGAATCCAAAGCACCATGCTGCAAGTAAACAGCCTTCCTCGCATCTCGTCTGGAAAAACCATAAGAGGAAAATATTAATGATTACATCTTAAAAGGAAGTTACTATAGACTATATACATACCTTGGTATCCTTTCCAAGAGAAGACCATATCCATCAGAAGTAACAACACGAATAGCTTCATATGGATACCCAAGCTCTGTTATAACATCTTGACAAGTCCTAGTATCTGTATTGTATAAGCTCGTTGTGGTTCTTTTGGTTCTTTCTGTAAGAGATGAATCGTTGTCTCCTAGTGTGTAAGTCTGCACGAGCTCATCATCTGAAATATCATCATCGTAGTCGTAGCTTCCTTTAGAAGAGAACCATGATGAGATTATCCCAAAGGCTTCTGATGGAGAAAGAAGAAGATGTGCCGCCTTGTGAAAGAAATCAAATATGGTTTCTATGACGATCTCAGTACCAAGCTGAAGATCCTGCAAGAACAGAACATAAGAGTGCGTGAGAAAGATTCAAGTATGTTTGTTTCAGTAACACAAACCTCAATGACTCCACGTCTTCTATCAGTAGTTCGGTTAGGGACATGGTGCTCTTTCCCTGGGATAGGTACTCTAGAAGAACGTCTGTACCTTCTTCTTGGGCTCATAGGAGAGTCTTGTCTCCAAAAAAGGCGTAAAAGATAAAAAGGTACCCATAGAAGTATCCTGGCGGGTAGCAAAACCAACCAGACTATGAACGTTATCCAGTCTGTCCAATGGCTTTCGTAATATTCAGGAAGACTAGCCCAAGAGCGGAGTGAGGTTTGTGACAAGGGTGATGGAGGCGTCGAGATACCATCACTCTCTTCTTCTTCATCATCTTCAAGAGAGGAATAATCTAAGCTGGAAGTGTCAGAGTCCAGAGAGAGCTCGTGAATAAAGCGGTTGAAAGAAGAGACTCCACTGCAAGTAAGTGTAAGCATTACATAAAGTGCTATTGAGGTATAACAAGAAAGGTTCAAGAAGTTTATAAATACTTGAGCATCCAGCGTGGTAAACGAGGTCCACGTGGAGTAGGCCTTAGTTCCCAGCCTTGAAGACCTTCAAGAACACTGGCCTTTCCAGGAATAAGAGTCAAGAGAAGTGCAGAAACTCCATTTATGAATCTTGCAAAGTTGTTTAATGACTCATAAGTCAATGTTTTCACTGACCTGCACCAAACCCCAAAACATTAGCCAAAACCATAGTTTGATAGACTGTCTATCATAGACATAAGCTTTTAAGAAAGCATATCCCTCCTCCTATATGAACACCAAAAGTAAATAGACAAGCTCTAAACGAATTAAAGTAAGTTTACCACCAAATTCAAAGACAATCACTGTCACTATTATAAAACTAAGTAAGAACAATACTGTGAAGAATGTTATCAATACTGTGATAATCAGTGACTATTAATTAACCACCAAATCTCTAAAGAATAATGTAAAAATCATAAGCTGGAGGATGTAGTAGTAGTACTCTGACTCAACTACAAAACTGGCTCGATGTATTGAAAACTATTTGGAATCAGAGATGACTAAACCAAATTAGAGATAATAAAAAAAATCACTAAACATGCAGTGATGATGAATCCAAGATGAGAAGAGAAAGAAGCTCACTCTTTGGTGATAGCCAGAGCGTCGTCGACGATTCTCTGCATGGTTTTGTCCACACTCGGAACCTCTGAAAGAGGAGGTTTTCAAGAAAAAACGACTTAAAAGGAAATTAAAAAAATGAAAATCTGCAAAGAAACAGAAGTTCCTCTTCTCTTATTAGTATAATCAGACTCAAGCCGCAATGGGAAGCTTAAAAAAATGTGATATCGGATAAATAGATGAGGGGCACGTCGGCGATTCTTACCGTCAACAAGAAGGTTTGGTAGTAAACGTTATTTGGAGAGACGTGACAGACAGTGACACGTGGGCCTATGTTACTGGATTGGTTTTGCATGCAGAACTGGAGACATGACACGCAAGTCTGTAGTGGCTGTAAAGTTACGCCCATTTGTACTTTGTCTCTGACATCAAGTGTCGTGACTTTTAAGCATTGTGGTTTGAAAATTTTCTCATGTTTTTATATCAGCAAAGCTTCAAAGTTTGTTTCTGACAATAAGTGTCGTGACTTTTAAGCTTGTGGTTTGTATTTTTTTCTTGTATTTATATCAACAAAGCTTCAAAGTCATTAGCAGTTTTAGTAACACGACAAAGCTCGTTAGATTCAGCTTAATCCGGATTTAAATTGGTTTACTGACATGAATTATCCTAATATCTGAAGATAAGCAGAACTATGGTCGCAGTCTGACATCTTCCACGTGTTTCCTTTGGCTTATTCCATACAACTAGATAGTTTTCATAACTGTTTTGTTAATGTCTAAAATTGCAATAAAGGTAAAAAGATAAAAGAGTCGAGAACAACACAGATGAATCCATGAGATTAACACAGTAGCTAGTTTTCAAGTTTTTTGCTTTCTCACCGGTTCTAAAGAATCTGAAGCTCCTGCTTTAAGGACACTTTCTCTGAATGTATGAAGCGCCATGTTCCTCGTACCTTCATGTGTCAAAAGATAAACTAAATATCAGCTTCTTCTTTTTTTTGGGGGGTCTTTTGATCAGTGGAAAGAAGCTAAAAACAGAGACTTACTCGGATTTGGAGAACCACATCTGTTGAAATGAGCCTAGTGATGCTAATATACTCCCTCCTATCCATACACTGCACATATAACATCACAACTTCAGGAATGTATTACTCAAGATCCAAAAATCAGTAAGGAAGAAGTGAAACTATATATCCAACCTGAATCTTCTTTCTGTTGTGTTACCGCTCGCCAACACTTTGACTCGAGCCGAGTGAGGAGACTCCTGAAATGAAAGATAGCAGATGATCAATGATTTTCACCATATTAAAAAGAATCAAGGAAAGTTTGCAAGCGAGAGAAAAAAGAAGAGAGGACATAATACTTCGATTAAGTCTTTTTCGAGACGTTCTTTCAACTGCTGCATTGATGATGTGCCACCCGCAAGCTGGCATAACATAAGAATAAAAAAAAAGTGTGAAATATCAGTATGCTATACAACTTAGGGAATTTAAGAGTTGAATTTGATTGTTATGTTACCAGTATGCTACTATAGAACTCTTTCCGGGTATCCACATCACATTTGTTGATGCTTTCCATGACCTGTACAAGTTTATCAAATGGAGAGTGAAGTTAGAGACAGTAAAGAGACGAAAGCTTTGCAGTGACTAGAGACTATGCATATACCATGTGTGGCAACCCACGAACAGAGGGAATCATGTCTGCATACTTCTCCATTCCGGGAATTGTCTGCGAGGTTCCAAAAAAACACAGAGGGTCACTTTATAAAATCACTGACAAACTATTTCAGGCTCAGAGCAGCTCAAGAGAAGACATCATTCATAGCTTAAAACGGTGCTGAGTTGTATACCTGAACTATGGAAGGGTTGAACATCACATCAGGAATTTTGAACTTATCAGCACCAATCTCGAGTGTCCTGCAGTATAAAAGCTTAATAAGTTATTGAGAACGACTAAAAAAGCAAGCGTTCAGCTTCCTATCTTCATCTACTTAATTTTCACAACAGATTCAGATTTCATGCAGGGTTTCCCAAAAGCAATGTCTGACTCTTCTCAACTTCAAAATAGTGGCAAATTTTCTCTAGAAATCAATCACAAAACTTATACATGGAAAGTAACACCAACTGTAGCATAGACATTTGAAGCACAAAAAAATCGCAATAGACATATAAAGTGGAGCTTACTGGCCATCAGGAAGCTCGTAGGATGTAGTTGGGATGTTTGAATATGACTTGTCTGCAGATAAAATCAACACATCAGGAAAATTAAGGCTACAAGATCAATGAACATTTAAGAATAAAAAGTACCTAACATTGCAACTCCTAAATCACTCTAAATTTTGAAGAAAAAAAAAACAATTTCTCAAACCAGTAGAAGACAAAAGAGTATAACATACCGTCATAGGGAGTATCAGGAACCCGGCAAATGGAATCCTTGATATCACCCACTATCATCCTCTGTTGAGAAAAGGCACACCGAGTTTATAAAACAACAGAAAATTTTCAAACGAGGTGTAATTATCAATCACAGACCTGGCAGAAGAGCTTGTAGCTTTCCGTGGTGTCAGGAACACCTACATCTTCAACCTGCACGCACTCAAAGAGAGGAAATAAGAGACTATTACACTCCAACGATAAGAAAAAAACTCTTATACATTTCGTTAGTGTCCACTATCTGAACTGAAATGAGATAAATCCTACAATTTCTCTAGCATTGCTCACTAAAATGATAACATCTACTCTTCAAGAACACAAAATTAATTTTCAAAACCCTTTCTCATTTTCTCTCACTAAATAAATAATAGTCAAATAGAGTTTTATCCACTGATCCATATATGCACCTGGAATTCCCCTGGACGTACTTCCTTTCTCTTGAAAGAGTATCTAGGTCTTATCTGCGAAAGAAACAAACCAGCAAAACTCAGGTAAATTGGCTCAAAAGATAAACAGCAGTGTAAGAATTAGTTTAACTTACTTTAATTCCTTTACTCTCCAAGCTTTTCAGTAAGCAGTCAGTGAGAAATTCCCCTCCAATTTGATTTGATATAACAGCCTGCAAAATGGTCAACAATCAGAAGTAAAGAAAGATGGAAGATGATACATTGGAAACGAAAGATGGAAAACTTTCTCTTGCAGCAGAAAAAATCTAAACCCAAAGAAAGCATCACAAAGCTTGAATTCTAATCAAATAGATTAATACATATACCTTTTGAAGGACATAGCCTTCATGCACTGGTGAAATTGTTGTGGATCCTCCACCGCTGGAACACAATAAAGTATGGAAAAAGTGCCATCAGTGCCTCTCAGATTAACCACATCAAACAGCAAAAGTGGAAGCATCCACATACTTGAGAAACATTAAGTAATTTTGTAGTACAAAAGTCTTACCAGTCAACAACCAATGAAGTAGCACGCCCAGTAGCAAAAGACGTGAGAACCTAGCACCAAAAAAACCGCCAAAATTCATGTAGATAGTTAGACATCGGATTTCACAAGAGCGAGCAGGAGACCAATGACACAAGGTAAGAGAGAATATACAGGATTCTTAGCAATAAACAATGCTGGAACTTTGTATTTTTCAAACATTAGCTCTGCCGCCCTGCCAAGCATATGATTTGAGAAAATCAGTAACACACTCCAAGATGACTCAATATAAGAAAAAAGATATCAATAAACAGATGAATCGGACTTCTCTCTCTGCTGTTGAGTGTTCAAAGGAGGCTCAGCTAGCAGCATGGGATGCTCCTTAGGATCAATCATCAGACAACTCCTTTCAGACATTAAAGAACATATTAAAATGACACCAAACACCAACCAAGAGAAAGACTAATGCTTTATACCCTTACCTGAAAGCATGCTCCCATATATTGTCCACCAAATCCCAATCAGAAACTATACCATCTTTAATCGGTGACACGATCTAATGACAGAAAATGCAATTCATAGTTCACTAACAAACTTCACATTTTCAATACTAATCAAAAGAGGAAAAAAAAAGCTAATAAACCTCCATATGATCCCTGCGGTAATTCAAGGCTTGAGATCCCACATAGAGCTTGCGTTTACTCTTCTCCTTCTCAGACTTTGAATCCTCAGAATTCGAATTACTCTTTGCAGAATCAACATCAACATCCATCGCCTCTACTCCATCTACTGCCCCAACAACCTTATCAACGAACACATGAGACGAAGAACCCTAAGTTAATAACAATTCATATGTCTGAGGATACAAAGGACTAAACACCAAACACTAACGACATCAAATCCAAAACAGAGTTGTTGCAAGAGTATAAAGGAGTGAGCTTTACGGAAGGGAAGACGGCTTTGGGAGCATCTTCGCCGGCGTAGCCAGCCTTGCAAGTGTGAGAACCCAAGTCAACCACTATAGCTGACACTTCATCTGTGAGGAACAAACGAAAAATTCAGACTTTATAAACGAGAATCTCCTCAGAGAAAGGAGCAATTTTCGAGGGTTTGGAAGAGAAACCTACCTCCGCCGTACATGGCTGCCGTGGAACTCCTCGGAGGGTTGCTTAAAGGACGAGACTTGGCTCCTCTCGGGTTCAACCGAAACGGGTGGAATTGATTACTGAGCTCCGATTGTTGTTGTCTAAGAGAAGAGAAACACTCGATTCCGTTAAAAGAGGGGAACGAATATGAAAGAACAAAAAATAAAAAATGAAAAACGCCGTTGCCGGGGATCGAACCCGGGTCACCCGCGTGACAGGCGGGAATACTTACCACTATACTACAACGACTCTTGTTGTTAGAATATTATTCGGAATAATGAAATAATGATAAACACTTGAAGCATCTGATTAGCATTTGGGAAGAAGGTAACTTGGACTTGTTGCATCATATTTGGTTTCTTGTAACTCTATCCTCATAGCTTTGCTAGGTTCTGTGGAAGTGGCGAAGTGCTAACATTCGTAGAGATATTTGAGCTCAATTTCGCCGTTGCCTTCTTCAGTGGAACATCTCTAATCATTGTCTTTTTTTTTTTTTCACAACTCTAATCATCTTCTTCATCCATGAACATAAAACTAAAGAAGAAAATGGTAAGGTTTTTTCTTTTATGTTCTGGTATATGCTGGGAATCTAAAAGCTACTTGTTACAATCATCGCCATCGGAGTTATTACGTATGTGCCAGGTGGCATATGTAGAAAGACTCCTCTCGTTGTTTTGGCTTAACAGCCGTATAAATATATCTCAGAAGGCCCCAGCTAGCTACAAACAAAAAATACTGAAATTTTTAATAATTTTTAATAGTACTAGTTGCTTAGAACAAAAAAAAAATCTGAACTATCCAAATTGCTTCACTGTTTGTTCTAGCGATTCTGCTTACCAAATTTTCTTATTAAGAGTTTCTGTTCTGTTCATTAATCAAAGAAAAACCCTAACCTTTGAGACTTTTCTTTCCCATTTTGAAAGGTCTCTAATTCGTCTGATTTCAGAGAAGGGCGATACAGATTCTTCCGGAGACGGCATTGGAAATCATCTTCCGATCAATGTCACAGCTCCTCGTCGACGATCATCATCACCAATGAGCTCAATATCCTCACCGTTGATCCTAACACCTGGACCCACCGCTCTCTTCTCCTCCTCACGGGAGCTCAAGTGTCTCCAACCGTTGAAGCAGGGGAAGAGGAACATCGTTTGCTGCGTTTCGCCTTCGCCGACGAGGAAGACGGTGGTTGATGAGGATGAAGTGGCGGTTAGACGGGGTTTAGCAATGCAGCGGGTTTTGGAGGATAACGGTGGCGATAGAAGCTCCGTTAGAGATTTCTCCTTGTTCACCACCAAGAGAGGTGACACGTTGTTTACTCAGTCGTGGACACGTGTCGGCTCCATTAACAACAGGTCCACTCTCTTTTACCTACGAATTTCGTTTTTTTTTAGAGTATTTGCATTGTCTTGTCGGTTACTGATGATTCGATAGTTTCTATGGAAACTTTGGTAGATGAAAATAAAAAGATCTGAGACTTGTGGTTCTCGAGAATTTGAGCTTTTAATTATGATATTGATTATTTTTTCTGTCGTTTTTCTCAGCTGGTCCTAGCTATTACCTCGGCATTTACCTTGCTACATTGGATTCTATTGTGCCTTATTTAGATTCCTTAGTGTTATAATTTATAAGACAAATGCTCTTAGACCAAGGAGTTGTTTGAGACTAGCTGTTAACATTATGCCGTGGTTGCATTTCTTTGTTTCATTGGTTGAATGTCTTGGATTCGTTATGCTGTGTTTGTTTGAGACTAGTTGTTAATATTCATGTGAATTAAGATAAAACAAATAGCTGAGACTATCTTTGAATGATGATTGATGATTCTGCTAACTAGTCAAGACTCACGAGTTCTCGAAGATCAATGTATAACAGAAACACTGAAGAATTGGTCTAGAGAAACTTTTGAGTGTATATTATACAATGGACTTCAAGATCTCCTGACTATATAATACAATGGACTTGTGTATTGTCTTCTTCTTTTAATCTTTTTATTTGGCTAATATCTTTATGTGAGCTTTGCTTGCAGGGGGCTTGTTGTTCTGCTACATGGTCTGAACGAACACAGGTTTGTTTTGTAGCTTTTGATCATTGATTACCAATTATCCTTTTCCATATAGGAAGCCTAACTGAATTTATTCATACGCACAACAGTGGCAGGTATAGTGATTTTGCAAAGCAGCTAAATATCAGTGGATTCAAGGTCTATGGATTAGATTGGATCGGTAATACCACTTTTTAGTAACTCCCAAGTAATGATCGTGTTAAGCATTTACCAGTGTAGAAATTCTATGTTTCGTTACTCATTGGAGTGGTATATTGACCGAACAGGTCATGGTGGAAGCGATGGACTTCATGCTTATGTTCCTTCTCTTGATTATGCTGTCACTGATTTGGTATAGTCAAGACCAACATTTTCATAAACCATATTCCATCTCTTACAAGTTACAACCACATATCTGCAGAGCTCGTTTCTTGAGAAGGTGATTGCAGAAAACCCCGGACTGCCCTGTTTCTGCGTAGGTCACTCAACAGGAGGAGCCATCATTTTAAAGGTCAAAAGATCTTTAAACCATATATTGATAACCATTTCTCTTGAAACCATATGTTGAGTATATAAACTACTTCTGCAGGCAATGCTAGACCCAAAGATCGAAGCTCGAGTTTCAGGGATTGTGCTAACTTCACCCGCAGTTGGAGTCCAACCATCTCATCCCATCTTTGGTGTACGTCAAACCTGAAAAACCTGAACATGTTTCTTGTCTCTTCATCTTGAAAACATTACAACATTTCTTCAACAGGTAATTGCACCATTCCTCGCGTTCCTCATCCCAAGGTACCAGTTGAGTGCTGCAAAAAAGAAAATAAAGCCTGTTTCTCGTGACCCGGAAGCTCTATTGGCTAAATACTCCGACCCGTTAGTCTACACCGGGTTTATCAGAGCAAGAACCGGTTACGAGATCCTCAGACTTGGTTCTCATTTGTTAGAGAACCTGAATAGAATCAAGGTCCCGTTTCTTGTGCTTCACGGCACGGCTGACACGGTTACTGATCCTAAAGCTACTCAGAGACTGTATGATGAAGCTTCCTCGTCCGACAAGTCGATAAAGCTGTTTGATGGATTGTTGCATGATCTGCTCTTTGAACCGGAACGAGGAATTATCGCTGGAGTCATAATGGATTGGCTAAACCGGCGGGTTTAAATTTCCCAAACCAAATGTATTATCACGTATTATATACGATTGTGTAACTATTTTAACACCGTGTTTAGAATTTAATTCTCAAGAAAATACGAATAATTAAAGATTAATGGGTAGTTAACATTAGGTCTGGGATTTTCAGCTTTTGGGTATCGGACTAGAGAATCAATTTACTATTTGAGCTATTTTTGGATCGGTTCAATTTGGTTGGAATAGTAAAATTATCTGAAATTTCTCAGAGAAAAAATGGTTCTCATTTTTGACCCAAAAAAAAATGGTTCTCATTTGTTTCCATTTAGTTCGGGTAATTCAAGTTGAATATCAGAAAATAAATAGAATAATTTAGATAAATATCTCTGATATTTATGATAAAAAATATCTGGATATTTTGGATAGTTCTAATTTATAATAATTTAATTTTTCAACATAACAGATTTTTAAATTAAAAATTATACATTTAGTTATATTATATGTATATACAATTAACATCTTTATATTTGGATATGGTTCTTGTTTCAGATTCGGTTTAATTCGATTATTTTGGATATAGAAATATGCGAACTATTTCGAGTTGGATATTTTGGTTTCGGTTCGGGTATTTTGGATATTTCGTTCGGCTCCGGTTCTGTTGTGGTCTTTTTCGTACACCTAGTTAATATGTTGGGCTTGCGTCGTACACTATTGGGCTTCGACCTGAATCGGGTCAAAACCCGTTTACCAGATCCGGATCTCCGATGCTTCTCAGTAAGTTTTTTTATAGCAGTCGAAACTCCGATTCTAGTGTCCCTCGAATCATCGGAAGCTCAAGACGACAGTTTACCGGCACTAATTTAGCAAAATCGGATCTCATCTCCGGCGGGAAGTTTCCCCGACACTAAAACTCCGACTTACATTCTGTGAAAGCTATGGCGTCCGTTGCTTCTAAGCTCTATTCAGGTCTTCCCCTCGAAACCCTAGCTTACAATGAATCGCTTTACCTTCATTACTGATTAATCGTGATTTGTTTTGTTGGTGTCAGATGATGTAAGTCTCCTCGTGTTGTTACTTGACACGAATCCCTTCTTCTGGGACACTACATCAACTACCTTCTCTCAGTTCCTCTCTCATGTAAGTAAGTGTGTCTCTTTCTCACTTGTTAATACTTTTCGTTTCATGATTTTGATGTTTTGTTTAATGGTAGGTGCTTGCGTTTCTGAACGCGGTTTTGGGGTTGAATCAGTTGAACCAAGTTGTGGTGATAGCTACTGGTTACAGTTCTTGTGATTACATTTATGATTCGTCTTTGACTTCGAATGTGAGCTCTGAGAGTGGTGGAAATGGAATGCCTGCTCTTTTTGGGTCTTTGCTGGAGAAATTGGAAGATTTTATTGCTAGAGATGAGGAGCTTGCCAAGGAGGATGAGCATGTGGAGAGGATAGCTTCTTCTCTTTTGTCAGGATCACTCTCTATGGCTCTCTGCTGTATCCTTTTTGAGAGAGATTGCGTTTTAGCGTTTGATCAGTCTTTGTTGCTGTGTGTTTTTTGCAAGTGAAAATGGATGGGGATTTGTTTGTATACTACATAAGACCTGCTAGTAATCTTAAGGTCTAGTAGCTTCCTTTCTCTATTTAAACTAAACTGATAGCGTTTTTAGGTTGATATGTGTGTTCTCCGCTAAACCAGATGGCATGTCTCTAGGACCATTGATGTCATTTGGTAATGAATATATGTATGTGGTCTTCACTTTTTGTTTTGTCTGATTTTCTGGCTAGATATACAGAGGGTTTTCCGTTCTGGACATCTTCATCCCCAGCCTCGGGTACGTGTGTAGTATGATGATATACATCTCAACAATTGTCTTAGATGATATTACTCAATCTTCAGCTTAAAGTATAATTTCATACATATCCCTTCTATGGTTTATTTGTTTGATTGCTTAGTCCAATAAAATAGAGCTGATTGTGCAATTGGCATATATATGAAATACAGATTTTATGCTTGCAAGGTTCTCCAGATGGCCCGGAACAGTATGTTCTCTTCTATAACCTTTTCCTACTTGCAGTATTTTCTTAGGTTTGTCTGGTCTCATGAAAAATTTCGTTATGTTTTTTCAGATATGTAGCTGTTATGAACTCTATCTTCTCTGCCCAACGCCTAATGGTACTCTTCATTTTGATTGGTTCTATGGGATTTAAGCTTCTTGACGTTCTCAGAGTTTCAATAAATATGTACCTAAAGGCTCAAGTCACTTCATCAATTGGTTGTGTAGGTTCCTATTGATTCATGTTACATAGGTACACAGAACTCGGCATTTTTGCAGCAGGTAATATCATTCAGGTGCAAGTAGATACTTCTTACCTCCTCAAGCTATGCATTAGTTTTGTCATCACTTGTGGCATATATGTAGGCATCTTACATAACCGGCGGAGTACATCATGCACCTAAACAGTTGGATGGGCTGTTTCAGTTTCTAACGGTATGCTCTTTATCTCAAGTCCAAACAATTGCACGTGCACTGCGCATGTTTATGTGCCTCTCACTACAGTGAAATTAGCGTACTCAATGTGTCCTATACCTTGGATTATTTTGTTTTGCATGTAAAAGACGATCTTTGCAACGGATTTGCACACCCGTAGTTTTATACAACTTCCTAAACCTGTAGGAGTTGATTTCCGAGCATCGTAAGTGATCAAATCACAGAACTCTTCAATGTCTGTGGTCTCCTCCACATATTATTAAAGATTGGTTTATCTTGCAGGTGTTTTTGCCACAAGAAGACTATAGATATGGGGTATGTATGTTCAGTGTGTCTGTCAATTTTCTGTGAGCATCACAAGAAATGTTCAACGTGCGGGTAAGAGATTTTGACCCATTCTTGTTCTTTCTCTTCCTAGTATAAACTGTTTGATTCTAATGTACAAAAGAAAACCTTTGGAATGTGCAGGTCTGTGTTTGGTCAGTCTAAACTTGATGGTGCTAATGCTTCATCATCTGTTAATGATAGGAAGAGAAAAGCTCCTGATTCCTAATCATCTTTTTTATGCTGGAGAGATACTGCAAACTTTGCTAAATATTCATGTATTGTCTTTTGCGTTGTTTTACAAGAACTTGTGAAGGAATACCAAGTTGAAATCAACTAAATTTACAATTTTGATCAAACGCTTATTTGAGCAGTTCTTTTGACAAGTTTTGACATTTTTCCCAAAAGAGTTAGTTAGTTACTCATTGACATAAACTAAAGATAAAAGGCCTTGTAGTAATCTCACAAACGAAACTGGGCCTCTCTATCCAATTTAAACGAATTTTACTCTACACGCTGACGTCATGTATTATTATTTGTCGGAACTGATTTGGATCCAAACCCGTTTTGATGGATCCGACTCCTACTTAAATAGAGAAGAGGTAGAGCGGGATCAGCGATAGTTGGTGAACCATGGATTCGAGTAAACGGCGAAAGGTGAAAATGCCGAAACCTTTCTTTTTTTTTACTGTTTATGTTTTCCCAGAATTCGAAATTCGATTGGAAATTTGGTGATACATCATGCAGATATTGGAGAAGAAGAAGAAGATTAATGACCTTATAAAAAGAGCTTCTTCCGTACTCGATCCTCTTTCTCCCTTTGATTCCTTCCGCCGTTACACAAAAAATGGTAATCATTTCTTCCTCGTTATTAGACTTTCGCCAGTTTGTGAAATTTTTGGTCTTGGAATTCACGAATATGATCTGATTGAAAGCACGTTGATAGCCTAAGGATAAGAACTTGCGTTTTTCTAATGATTGTTAATAATGATTACAACATGATATGAAGTAGATGTAGTTTAAGTTCGATGAGCTGTGTACTTTGATCACTTGGTTATGATCACTTGTTGAGCTAATTCTGTGTCTGTGTTGTTCCTTACGTCTTGTAGACTTATCTGTGTACTTGGAATCTGGGCGTGGAGATAGACTTTCCTCGTCCCTGAAACAACACATTCGAAAGCTCTTGAAGGTTATAACAAAAAAAAATGATGTTTGCTTTATTATATTCGATTATAAACACAGCTCTTTAGGAATATTCGTCTGAATTTGTTTTACATGACAGAAGAACATGGAAGGATTCTATGGGTCTAATTGGCCACTTCAAGCTAAGGTGAAACGTAAGGAGAAGTCTTCTGCAGACGCACGCTATATATTTGTGCGGGAGCTGCGTGGTAAAGCTGAGGTGTCTACTCAAAGAAGTTGCGAGGAAGGGTGTGATCAGATTGCTGGATTTTTGCATTACCGGTTTACTCTAGAGGAAGAGATACCTGTTCTCTATGTGTATGAGATTCAGCTGGAATCTCGGATTCAAGGAAAAGGATTGGGAGAGTTTTTAATGCAGTTGATAGAGCTCATTGCTTCCAAGGTTGGATCCATTACGAGTCTCTCAATCTACTTGCTTTTTTTACTTTCAGGTTTCATAGCTTTAATGATAGTATGGTGGTTTGTGTTCTTATTTTCAGAATCAGATGAGTGCTATCGTGCTGACTGTTCAAACATCCAATGCATTGGCAAAGACTTTCTACATGAACAAGCTAGGGTAAGAGGTAACCTTTTGGAAGATTATCTTATTCCATATAGTAAATTTTGGAAGTGTTGATGGGGTTCCCAATGTTTTCCTATAGTCAATATTTTTCCTAAAATCAAGTATTTCTCGAGTCTTGTAAACTTGTCCTACAAACATCTCAAAGTCTTCATTTACTTTTTTTGTTCAGATACAGAATATCAAGCATTTCACCATCGAAAGCTAATCCGGTACAGAATCACTAGTCTTTTTCAGTGTCTTTGTATTAGGCGGCATTCATTTGATTCCGAAGCTAAATCTTTAAGTGTCTTCTACATTTTTTATTGTGCAGACTTTCTCGGCCAAGTATGAGATACTTTGCAAAACATTTGATTTTGAAGCTAAATCTGTGTTGGAGGTTAGATTCTTTCGCTGCATCACTCGCATTTATGTCAAAAATGTTGATCAAGTGTAAACTTTCTTCTTTTGCTTTCTTTCTTGGCATTGTAATTGATACTTGCTTTGTTTTCACTATTTTCCAAGAAGAATGATGAAGAACCATCCAGAGATTGCGTATCAACCATGGAATAACTCATAGTTTTCTTGTAAGTTTCCGCTCTTGTCTACTGGACATTTTATCAGCACTCGTTCTGTCTTTGACGTTTTCTGAAAAAGTATTTGCTTGATTCTGACAGACGACACCGAGTCTTGTGATAAGGTACAGTTATATAACAGACGCAGATGAAGACTTTGGTTACTTCGATGGCAGTTCATACTCCACACCAAGAGACAGAAACCCAATGCTCCAATGCCTGTTGAAGTAATTTGTGCTGTCAAGAACACCATTCTTAAAATCTGAAGACTATTTTTTGGTTAGCTGTGAGTATTTGTATGGTTTATTAACCCTTTGGAAGAGATTGTACAGAGTTGGCAATTAGGACTTGGGAGTGATTAGAGTGAGAAACGAATCTTGTACTGGGTTTGGATATTTTTGAATCAGAGATATCAATTTGACAACGTTTCTATTCAAAATTGCCTTTCAAATGTTGAATTATGAGGCTTGAACCTTATTTCAATGTAGACAAATGTTGAGAACTCGAGATAGAAAATACAGAGATATGGTCATGGTTTCTTGCGCAACAGAGAAGGAACTTTAGGATCTGACATGTTTATAGGCTCTCAATGACTGAATAACACTTTAATAATATTGGAGCCTGAATGTATATGAGATAAATAAATAAATAATGACAATAGCTGAACTAATATTCAATCAAAAGAAGCCTCACTTTTTTTCTATGTTTCAAAAGTATTAAAACAATTTACCAGCAATGGCTTTTGTTAGATAATATTGTTGGTTTTATGTATGCCTATCGAAGAACTTCTCTATCAGTACAGAGAAAGTTGCAAAGCCAGCACAACCTATACACGCAGCTTTTGGCCCACCTGAAAAGAAATTCATCAAAATCCTTTAGAGACACAACGTATCATGAAAGCAAATTGCAAATAGATTTAAATGACTTCAACCAAATAAACAATCTCTTGAAAGAAACGTATGTAGTAAAAGAATCAGATGAAGTAATTGTCAGGGGAACAAAAGCACTTAGTCAGAAAATCAAGACTTTGCAAAACCTCTCGACACTTAACAGTCCACAGAAAGAAAATGATAAGACATTATTACCTCGTGCAGACATTATACCACCGGTCACACATCCAGCAACAGCAGTGTTTACTATATCATGCTTCGCTCTTGCCTAATTTTGAGAGAATTAAAATCGAAAAAAAAAAGTAAGGAATTGAAAGTAACGATCATGAGGAGTTAGTGTGGGGTGAATAACATATATATATTTACCTTCTCGACAATGCATTCAGCAGCAGAGTAAACCAAACCCATAACCGCAAAAGTCTTGCAAGAACTCCAACTCCTTTGCCCCATTTGTTTAGCTGTGTACACAAACTGCTGCCTACCAGTCATCGTATCATGCATTATAGGATTATCCAACGCTCCCAAGAACAAACCCATCATCAACCCAAGCCCTCCTCCTACACACACACAATTCACAAATAATTAACTGAATATTCCCACATGCCTATTTAATACAAGGAACAACAATATCTATTAACTACGAGCGTAAAGTTAGAAGCCTTATAACAGAAACAACTCTCTGAGAGCATTTAAAGAATGTACACAATATTCTGTTACAAAAAAACAAGACAACAACTAACTTAAAAAAAAAAAAGACAACAACTAAAAGTGAAATCTTTGAAGCAGTGAAGCAATTATAGATGGAGAAAGGAGAGAAATTTGGGAACAGACCCATGACGCCACTAGCTACACTTTTGACAGCGCAGTTGTTCCAAACCTCTTGGGCTCTCATCTCCTCGACGGTTGGCATCCGTATCGGCTCAATCTTTGTAGGGCTCTCGTTAGAACCCGATGAACCAGCAGCAGACGGTTCAGCACTCGAATCAGCAGACATTTTCAGAGGTTTAGAGAAGTAGAGTAGAATCCGACAGGAGGAAAAGGTGTTGTAAAAGATCAAGCGTTCGCGATTCGCGCGCCTTGGAGAGAAAGATAAACCCACCCCGAGGTAGGGTTTAAGCTACAATAATGGCCTGGAATTATATCATTTTAGGGCCCATTAGTATCTAAATGGGCCTGTATGTTAATCATAGACTCATGTTGGAAGAACCAGTAAAATGGCTAGAACCGATTTTCTTAAAATTCTAATTTTAATCCATTAAAATTGATATAAATTAGTCTAGATCGATATGTAGTGGTTAGGCAAACCGATTCTTCAAAAAAACATTTATGTTTAATCGGATCTGATCTATATAAAAATAATATGACCGATGATCTTTGCTTCTCTTACTAAAGAATCCACCAGACAATTACTATTCCAAAAAATATGAAACAAATTCACGTCTACACCTCAAGTAATCTCTGGAACACATCAATCTTTATCATGAATTTTGGTCAATCCACCAGATTTGTGATCACATATACTAGGTATGTGCAGAACCATATATATCGAGATTATCCTCTTCTCTCATAGATGAGGTTGTCCAATGTCTACATCGATCTAAAATAGTCTAAATTTGTTTGACCAGTTACCAAAAAAAATCTGTTAAACCAAGCCATAATGTTTGTTAAAGTTTACAAATTTGTTTGTTTTTAATATATACAATTATTATAATTATAGTTTTTATAATTAAACCCAAGTTAAACTATGTAGTTAAAAAAAATAAACTATGTAGTTAAAAAAATTTAAACTATATGATAATATGATCATTATTTTGTTAACGTCTAAACTCCTAATAATCGGTCTACTGCTTTCATTTACAAAGCAGTTAACTACTGTCTAACAATTTCCATAGCATTAATACAGACCATCATGTGGTTGGATTAGCAGTAAACGTTTTATTCAAGGTCTAGCAGTTTATTCACAATCAAAGAATGAATGAATCATCAAAATACACAAAAAGAATGAATAAAATTAGGAAGACTTATAATAAGTTGACTTCTCAATCTTCAAACTATCAAAACTTTGTCCACATCTCTCAATTAGACAAAGAGAGACATTGTGACCAAAACAAATGATCACCGTGGACGGGTTTCTAAAGTCTAAAGCTCTGTTCCACCAACTCTAAACATCTTCTCTACTTTCGATCTCCACCTCCTCAGCGTTACCTTTCAGGTTAACAAATGCTTCAAGAGCTTCTCTCATCCACCAATTCTGACATACCTCTCTTGCTTCATCCAACCCCACCCATTTGCGTTGTCTCATCTCAGCTTCAGGCCATCGCTCAAACTCTTGGTCAACGAGTAAAGCAAACATGTATCCATGGTGAAGTATGTTATGTCTTTTGCTTTTGTATTGCCATCTCCCTAGCTTCTCCTCTAGCTCCCCTGTCACACCAGCTTCTTCTATGGTCTCTCTAAGAGCTGCTTCCTCCATTGATTCATCTGTCTCCCAACCTCCTTTTGGGAATAACATTCCTTTCCCCTTTTGAGCACTGATGAGAAGAACTTCTATTGCTCTTGATTCTGTTCCGTTGACTTGTTGTGTCTTGTAACGGTACGGTACACATCTGCAGAAATTAAAATAAAGCTTTTCAGATATTTTCTTAGACAAAAAGAAACTTTTAATTATTATTATTTTGTTAATTCCAGATTAATGTTCCAACAATTTTTTTTTCACAACCAGACAATATCAAAGATTTTATAAGCCTATACATCATACGGAGATAATTTAATATTTTGAGTTTTTTTTATAAATAAAGAACACAGATTAGTGATTGTTAATAAAGCTTTTCAGAATATTTTCTTTAACAATTTATGACAAAAAATATTTTTAATTATTAATTTTAAAAAAAAATCCAGAATAATGTTCCAACAATACTTTTTTTACAACCAGACAATATCAAGATAGCTATAAGCCTATACATTATTCAGAGATAATATAATATTTTGAGTCATTTTCTTTTAATAAATAAAATTCGTGGGAAAAAGACGTACCCAACGACTTGACGATAGCCAGAGTTATCGTAACGTTGCAAATCTCTACCGGTGCGAGAGACCAAAGAGACAACCTTCTCTATCTGCGCAGGGACAACCTTTGACGGTATGGTCTCGAAGATCGGAGACAGATACGAGGCAACGTTTGAAAAGTTTGAGACGATAAGAGACACGGAGAAGCCTGTCATTTTTTTGAATCCCTCTTTTGGTCTTTAAAGATTTTAATGAATTATGAGCACGTGAGAGAGGGAGATGAATCAAAAAGGCTCTGTTCTTGAATTCGAGAGAATTGATTTAAGGAAGTTTGAGAGAGAGAGATATGGATAAGCAACAAGAAAGGAAGAGAGAGAGAGATGTGATTTTTGTTGAGATGGTTAGGTTTTGGGACTGTCTTTATATGGAAAATCACATGAGATTGTTTATAACTCCCACGCGCTTGTGAATGTGACGACGTTTCGTCCAGCCGTTTGATTATTTTATGAAACTCATTATTTATTTGTTTTGTATATCAACTTGCTACATTTTTATTTATAGCACCTGAATCTAAGCTTTACTGTTTTGTTTCTTTGTTCTGAGATTTGTTTTGTTAGTGAGACAACTCTCTTTTTTTGTTTCTTTGTTCTGAGATTTGTTTTGTTAGTGAGACAACTCTCTGCCAAATGGATTCAGATTTCTAACAAAATTGAGCATTTCTATAACAGAAAACTTTATTGGTAACAACAAACCTTGAGGTCAGTTTTGATGTAAATAACCATTTAAAAACAAATTAACATATTACCAGAAAAACAATTTAAAATTCGAAATTATGAAAAAACACCATATAAAATGTATATAAACTGATTAAAAAAGTCTATAGAACGTACGATCATAATGTCAAAGGTAAATGACCATTGTATGTAGTCTCGTAATCAAAATTTTATCACATTTATTTCGTTTTACTTCTAGAAATTGTTATAGAAAAATCAAACTAAGAAACCTAGATATCCAACAATAAAAAAAGTCAACTCGTTAACGACCAAAAAAAACCTCGGCACAGACACGGAGGAGAAAAAATGGAAGAGGGTAAGTGGCACGCGCTACATGAGCGCATGGGGAAGCTATGCAAGTGGATGACTCATTTTTGTTTGTTTATGCCTTACCACTAAATAAAATAGTAAAAGAGTATGCTCTCATCCACATACTCGTCCCTACGTAAACACGCTATTAGGCCATGGATTCCTTTATTTCATTTTTATTATATGTAACATTTTATCTATCTATTTAATATGACTCACATTTTGTTGCTTTTCTAAGTCTATGTTTTCTAGAAGCCTAGCATGGATCATACAACCAATAATCTTGTAAAATGGGCCTGGCCCAGTATATTACAAAGCTTCTCTCACCTAGTGATACATTTATAGTGCTGCAATTGGTATACAGTATACTGAGATTATATGTCCAATGCGAGTTTTGATTTGGTTTTTGCTATGAGTTTTTAAGTTTTCGGATACATAATAATAGAAACGAGACATTAAATTTATATTAGAGTGGTTGAATCTCAATTATGGCTTGCAGTTTTCATAATTTTGAAGCAATAAATAAACTTAATTATAAACTGAATTGAACATTACTCATAAGTCTCATAACCAGTATTTCTACGTATGTCTTACTTCGTATGATTTGATTTTTAATGCTAAAAGCTAGCTTGTATAATAGTATGAATTATGATACACGTATCCTTAATTAATATTAGAGTGGTTGAATCTCAATTATGGCTTGCAGTTTTCATATTTTTCAAGCAATAAATAAACGTAATTATAAACTGAATTGAACATTACTCATAAGTCATAACCAGTATTTCTACCTATGTCTTACTTCGTATAATTTGATTGTAGTATATATTATGATACACGTATCCTTAAGGTAGGTGTAGACTTTTGGCCTAGGACGAAAGACTGCCCGGGTCATTTCTTATATCCCTCCTTTAATTAGTTCGGCTGACGATATATACTTTATATTCGGAGTTTCTACATATGGTTCCAATAAAATCCTCAAACCTATATTAATTAGAAAACTTCATTATTTATGTAAAACTCTCTAATATATACGTACCAAAGTTGAATCTATACAGATACTAAAACTTCATATATAAAAATATATATTTACCGAATACTAGAATAGCTGTACCTACAATTTGATTTACTATAAACAGCTAGAAATACACCTTCCTTGAAGTGTTACAAAAAAAAATACACCTTCCTTGACCATTAGAGCTGTCGGATTAATACCTAAAGGCTAAAGCCTAGAATAATACTAGTATCAATTATCAAGTCAAATCAGTTACTTGCATGTAGAGTCCGCTCTCTGAGAATTATGGAGGCCAAGACGATTATTTAACAATTTCATATAAAAACATTTATTTACAGATTTGGGGATTTTAAATTTTTTTTTGAGAATCTCTATACATGTATTTTTTTTTCAAAAAAGTTTAGGGGCCAATTCCAATGTTTCATCCGGGTTGCTAAATGGCCCTGCTTGCATGTGAGGTACTCGAAAGTATATTTCTTATTGAAATGAAAATACTACAGTACTTGTTCTTATGCTAGAGATGAATATATACCAGCCACAAATATTATAGATATGCATATAATCTGCTCCTCATGGTTCATGCCAATCTCTAATATTTTATACAGTGTCGGCCCTTGACAGAAGCTAAGCGAATGCTTGCGGCCGTAAATTTTAACATTAAATTTCGGCCACATTTTACAAAAGGTTTGTGTAGTCTAATGGTAGGTTTAGAGTATCTACACATCCGATCGAATGTGGTTCGAAATGTAGTGGTACAATTCTTTTTTTATTTTTTATTTTTTTTAAAACGACCACATTTTGTTTTGCTTCTAGCATTTCGAATTCTAGGACCGACTCTGATATTATATGTACAGTTAACCTATTAATACAACTAAAATCCGATATCGTGAACAGAACCAGCATATATAATTAAGCCTCAATTTCTCATTAAAACTCGGACAAAAATTATCAAGAAAAAAATAAAGAACAAATTAAAGAATACTCGTCTATGATCGATTGATATTATATAATACATTAAAAAAATAATTAACAATCCATTTAGCTCTCCACGATCGTCTCCAATCCAGGTCTCCAAGATCCATATTTGGATTCGTATAGTACCTTCTCTTCTAGGGTTTGTTTTATTTCCACACCATGATCATGATCTTGTTGATTATCATCATTAACCGACGATGAGTTTCTTCTTCGGAATATCTTCTTCAAATGGTTATACCGGCTTTCATTGAGTATCTCTGCTGCTTTCTCGGAGATGAGAGCTAGCTCTTCGTGTGTTAAGACAGAGAACAGCATGTCTGTCGGAAGTAGGAGGTATAGATGTCGTCTCGGCCGCAAGAACTCGTCGGGAGATACGGCGGTGACTCGGTGGCCTATTTGGAGCAAAGCTGAGTCGGTTATAAATTGACATGAGTTTTGAGAGACGATTTGGGAAGTCTTGATGGGTTTTGAGAAGACTTGGAGCGTTCCGGTGAACGGAGCTAAGATTTTGACTACTCCTGATGATGAGTTTGATGGTATGGTCAATGGAGCGCATGAAGATGTGTTTCCCATTATGTAAACAAAGTAGAATCAAGAACAAGAGAAAGAGAAAGTTGACATACAGAGAAAGAGAGAGAGAAGTTTCTTAGAAATGGGCTGGCTTTTATAATTATGTCTATACATTTAGTTGTATTAGTTTATGAACTAAGTGGTGATTAAGTATAAATTAATTTTGTTTGCTGGTTGTGTACAACTGTGTGTATCTTCTCTCTTCCGGTTCATAGTTGTCGTTTCTTAACTTTATTTAGGGACTTTATCTATCTGATAGGTCATAGGAGTATAGTTTAAGTAATTAAACTACAAAAAGAAAGATTTTTGTTTCAAATTTCAACAATATTAATTGTCATATAATCAAGTCAAACTCGATAATTAATCAGATTCAGCCCTTATAAACACCTGCAGCTTAGTTGTTTAATTTTAGTTCTACCGAACACTTAAAAATCACTAAAATATGGAGTACTCCTAATGAAAATATATTTGTGACCTTTTGTTGAGAGAGAGGTCAGCTAGAACTAAATGTTCGTATTCAGAAAACAGCTAGCATGAATCAAGGTAATAAGACAAAAAGCAGAGGAAATTTAGACATTAATTTCGTACTATTTTAGACCGTCTAATATATTACTAATATTTAACATGTCTAATAAATATGCCATAGACAGTGCCTTTTTTTTTTACTAAAGCCATAGACAGTTTTTAATTGGCAAACAAAAAGAATAGAAAGAACCAAGTATTTTAACAAGTTCTGGTATGGGTATTTTTTTCTCTAGTCGTAACATAATCGACATCACCTATTTATTCTTTTTTAGTTTTACACGAATGGGTGATATTCTGTGATTGTGAAAATAAGTTTTAAAGTAAGTGAATAAATAATTATTCGAATAAAATTAGTATATATATATAGAGAGAACAGTAGATAAAAGGAAAAACACATGGAGGAAGAATGGGTGTGATTGTGAAGAGCTGGGAGATTGGGCTGAGCTCGAGTCACGACGTTACCTAACTCATTATGAGACATGGCTTCTCCCTCCCTCCCTCCCCCACCCCTACCCTTTTTTTTTACTTGTTATAATATTAAATTTTAGTTCATGGGTTTCTATAAATTCCAAAAGCCAAATACAAAGATTACATAAGTCGGTACCATGAAACAAAGTATTACATCATATATCTACAGCTCATTAGCTGTCTGGATACATCCATCATTCATGTATAAATGTATATCGTTATTAGTTGCCACAATTTTATATGATCATTAATCAACGTCTTATAATATTCAAATTACAATAGCATGCATGTCATATGTGATATGTATTCCGTAACTATTCAAATGTAGAAATATAAATCCACGTGACTACTTATGTTTTACTTTAATTTACCAGTAAAAATATACATCCATGTATAAATAGATCGATATGTATGAATAATTTCTAATCGACTTAAGAAAACTACATCCACTAATGTATTAGCAATGGTATTTTGCTTTTCTGAGATGTGAATTGTATAAAAAATAATTGTCGTTAAAACACTCTTTAACTTATGTTTTCATATGATGGATACATACACACTGATGTGTATGTGGCTGTCTGTTTACTTGCGTATATGTATTTGTCGTTGTCGGACATCACACACTGTTTCACATTATGTGATTTTATTTGTAAAGTGCCCTGGACTTTGGATTCTACTTGTTTTTTTGTTTCTTGCTAATTTTATATTGTATTTACTCCAGTCTGGCAATAATTTAAACCAAATCCATTTGATGAACTGTCACAAGATTTGTTAAATCAATAATCTTAAAACAAACAGTCACAAACACTTGGAGGACACAAAAGTTATAATTAAAGTGAGAAGGGGATCTCAAGTAAGCTAACTATTTTCAACATATTTGAAAGAGGGGATAATTTATTATAACATTATTTTGACAGTAGCTAAAAAGCTAGCTTCCAAATACGGTAGCCATTAAACTCTAACGAGGTATATACCTATTTCAAACATATTTACTTGAAAAAAACATATTTACTTGACATATATATTATTAAACCAGGGTTTTTTGTAAAATCAATAGCTTGAACTAGTAACGTCGTCAGTATTATAATTCATAAATTCATATTGAGTTGTAATGATGTACATGTTTGTGAATGATATATATTTAGACAATACTTAGATGATTAGGTTTGTTTATAATATCCTTCAGCTTGTTTCCCGCCCCCTAACTCAATAGAATTTAGGCGTCAAATATAAACAAAAACCATGATGAGACGATTTTTACTGTTCGGCATTTAGTCAGAGGAAGAAAATGCTGATAAAGAGCTGTTGGAACTTATTACTATTATTAGAAATTTCATAGTACACATTAATACTCAATTACCGAAACGTCATATGATAATAGTAGTTTTCCAACATTTTAAACCTACCAAAAATGAATAAAGACGTGACTTATTATAAGATCAGAAGAAGATTGTTGCCAATGCCACAAAAGCGGAGGTGAAGCTAAGTCCCGCGAAGTTGATGGCCGGAGCCGAGTTTGATGGTTTGGCCGTTGAAGAACCTGAAGCTCCGGTTGAGCCGCTTTCTGTTCATTATTTTAAAAATAAAATAAATAAAAACAAAAGCTGAGTAATAAACTATAAACTTGTAACCTCTTTTTCTGAAGTTTTCAATAAAAAAAAAACTCTTCTTCTAAAGAGAATATTTCTAAAATAAAATAGCAAACTATAATTATATTTTTAATTCCTAACCAATATTCAAGAAATTGTTAGAAAAATGGTTACAGAAAATTCGTTTTTTATTCATACCAGCTGGAGATGCCGGAGGAGTTTTAGTAGTTCCCGGCGAAGTCGTAGGCGTAGTAGTGCCTTCGCAATCGCAAACACAAAAATCAAACTCAGGAAAAACAATGTGTGCATTATCCTAGAAACAAGAAACATAATAAACGACGTCGTTGTAATAAGTTACTCACCAGTGCTGGCTTTGCATTGTGACACATCAGCGTTAGCGCCACAAGCTTTAGGGAGCACAAGCGCGTTTTGTTTAGTTAGGTTAAGCGATCTAAGCATGTCAACGTTGTTGAAGACGGAGCAAAGACAGTTCAGATCGGTCTCGACAATCTCCTTCAACGGCATACAACACGACGCTGGAGGCGGAGGAATCACCGAGTGAAGATACGGCTGACACGGAACCAGTTTCTGTATACACGGCTTAGAGTGAGCATCTCCTGCTCCCCCACTCGGCGGTGTAGTTGCGGCCTTAGACGATGAGATGGTGGAAAGTGCAAAAATGATGGTAGTGATGACGAATTTAACAATCTCCATTTTCAAGAAAAAAAGTAGTTTCTTCTAAAACGGTTTCTTTATCTCTGTTTTTGTGGTCTGCGGATTTGTAATACATCTCCACGTTCATATATAACACACGTTGGTTATAATTTTGTTTTCTTTAGTTAAACCTAATAGACTTATTATCTGCCTGTTTTTTCGAGAAACAGTTACTTAATCTGTTCTGGTCCGAAGTTTGAGCACAGAATAAAAGACTAAGCTCTTTATTAATGACACTAATTAGTTAACCGAAAGTATCGTCACATTGTTGCCAATTCTTAAGAGTTCAGTGATCGTTGATTTACGGAAGTTGAATTATCCGTAACCTTTAATTGATAAATGGAAAAGATTGTTAATACATTTACAACAACTGATGTGAAGTATATATGTTTTTTTTAACTTTTTTGTTAGTTTTTCAACTGTGTGTTCTCCAATCATACCTAACAAACCAAGATTATTCTCATTAAAAAAAAATTGTATGATATTTTAGCTTTTGCCAGATAACATTAAAAATCTAACAAACATGTTCATATCAGACCAGTTACCGAGTTGTTGATTCCCTTACCCAAAAATATCCCCTATATATTAATTGAGAAACATTTGAAAAGATGTAACCTCAAATTTGTATTAATTAAAAAGTAACTTTGCTTAGTTGTCAATCAATTAGCATATCAATTAAACTGACGTGGCGGCTTTAGGTTCAATTGAAATTTGCTAGGGAAAAATAATTAGAGACGCATATAACGCATGTAACATAGTTTATATATTTATATATATCGCACGCATGTAATGGAAGAAAAGGAAAATATACGATTTGATA